TTGATGCACCCAAGGAAAAGCAGCCAGCTGGTGGCAACGCCAAGCCGATTCCGTTTCCAGGCCGGGACAACTCCGGTCAGGGGGGCAATCCCGTGTTGGTTTATGTCGACCCCGAGTTGGACGAGATTCGGTATGGTGGTTTTGAGCAGCATGAAAGGACGATAGCACCTCTTCGCGGATTGAATGTTCATTTGAATGAGAAGTTTAAAGTTGCGTTTTGTGAAGACAACCAAGCAACGATTCACATCATTCAGACTGGAAATTCCGCACAGCTTCGTCATGCTGACAGAACTCAAAGAACTTCTTTGGCGTGGCTTCGAGAACAATTCACGAAAGGTTTCTTCAATCTCGTCAATGTCAACACTGTGTATCAGGTTGCGGACATCTTGACCAAGCCGTTTACGAGCAAAGCAAAATGGGATCACGCGTGCAATCTTATTGGAGTACGGTGGGTGCAGTTGGATGGAAACATTTCAATCAAACCAGCCCCCACTAGCGAGGCGCAAGCTTCCGCCGTTTCCACGCACGAAACCTATGATCGGTTCTTGTGCGAATTTTGCTGTTCTGATGATTCCAAGCTCGGCGACAAATCAAGATTACCAGCATTCGGTTGCAAGGTGCTTAGAGTAACTGAGCGTCAGAATGCGTTGGTTGCTGATACATTGAAATGGGTATTTGACGAGGTGCAACTTTTCAGGAAGAATGTCAAGTCCAAAACACCGCCCTGCGTGATGCTTCATGCTTCACTTCCGTGTACGGGTGGGTGCCCCTGGAACAATATCAATGGTCAGACTCAAGAAGGTCAAGCCAAGATCCAGGAGCACAAGGCGTTGTTTCGCAAACTGCTGAAGCGTTTGGACAAACTTATCACTATGCTTCGACAGCTTGACATTGTGCTTGTGATCAACATGGAACTTCCTAAGCTTTGCAGTTATTGGAAGAACTATTTCGTGCATGATTTCCTCATGAAATATGAGATGGTCAAGTACAATTGCGATGGTTGCATGTTTGGTGTCCTTGGACAAGGATGGAAATTTGTTGCAAAAGTCATGGACTATTGCTTCTTCCTGTCAATCGTTGGCCAAACTGCAACAGTATAAGTGCACAAAGGATCATCAGCATGGACAGTCCAGGGGGGCGGCCCTCAAACGTGCTGAATCTTACACGTATGAAATGACTGACCTGATCCATGGATGTTTTTCTGAGTTTGCTGACAGCATGAAACAGGTTGTCACCGATAGCTCGGCTCAGAGACCCACAAAACGTGCACTTGTTGCTCTTAAGCTTCCCTCACCGGTAGCCGCAATGGCTGCTTACAATCTCGGGGAGTATGACGAGGGCAACTTGGAGTACTGGCGAGGTGTGATGACGAGCTTCACGTCGAACACCTTGTTCCAGGAGACGAGGCCTGAGGATCGCAAGACAATGGAGCAGATCCTCGGAGCCCAGGCCACCCTTCAGAGTTCATGCGCTATGTGGTCGGCTGACTACGCGCCGGAGCTCATGGATACGCTCTGCGCCGTTAACGACAAAGGTCTTGGCCGCATCACGCCCGGGGCAACCTGTGGCCGGAATAGCGTATACCTTGTTGTGAGTGACTCCAGCCTCGCCCTCATCAGCGGTGGCAAGAAGAACCGCAAGAGGGCGGATTTGGCGCAGGACATGAACTACAACCGCAGCACTGGTTGTACCCACTGTGAGGTGAGAATGTGTTGGGGAAAGGATCTCACATTTCTCACGTGGACAGTGAAGAGCGCCATGAAGGACTTGAAGAAGCGCCCTGAGTTTAAGGACCACGACTTCTACGTGACGGTGTACTGGTCCGGGAACGAGCTCGTTGGCAGTGGTGGGATCTGCGATGAGCCCGAATGGCCATACCGTTGCGGAGACGGTCACTGGCCCGAGCTGTTCAACAAGTGCGCCAAGGCGATCGATGTGCTTGAGGAGTGCAGGAGTTGGTGGAGCATTGCAAACATTACGATCTTGGCCAACACCGAGGGTTCGTACTACATGCTCCCGCCCATCTACAACCAGTTCATGGAAAAGTTGTTGGATGAGACGCTCAACAAGCACAAGCTCCTTCGCAAGAAGGAGTCGACGTTCTTGGTATCTCGTCAGGACCGGCTTGACAACTATCACATGGTGGACTCCATCGAGAACCGGAAGACGACGGTGGAGTGGCTGTGGTCGTTGTACAACGTCATGAAGTGTGTCGCTGTCGTTGAGTCCCACAAAGAAGATTTCAACAACATCAGGTTGTACCTTGAATATTCTCATGACGCTGATGCTGGACTCAATCCCAACACGTTGGCCGAGTACGAGGCGAACAGGAAGCTCACTCTGGAGTCGTGGGAAAGCCTTCAACGTCCGATCAAGCTCGCGAAGGGCCGCATCCTCGAAAAGATCGAGGAAGTCGAAATCAAGGAGGAGATCGACTATGATGACGATGATGCACTCCCGCAAGGGAGTGCCGCTGAGGCTGCGCTTGGCGTCAAGGCCGCTCCGGCTACACCCAAGTTCACCGCGAAAGCATCGCCTAAGGTACAGGCGAAACCATCGCCTAAGGTACAGGCGAAACCGTCAACTGCTGCGGTGGCATCGGATGTGCGGGGGGCAACCCCTGCCGGAAGCGCGTTGCCAGGCAAGCCCGGCGGAACCGTCATCTTCCGCGGCCAGGAGTATGAGGCGAGGATTCTCCCGGGCACGATCCTGAAGGTGCCCAACTTCATGAAGGGAGAAACGTCCTCTACCGATCGGTGCACAACCATATCTGGTATGCTTCGTGGCAGGTTTCAAGAACAGAGGCCACTCGACTTCGATGAGAACTATTTTGTCGACGTCCATCAGCTATGTGACAAATTCAACAGAAAGACCCGCAGCAATATCGGGTACAAAACGCTGTTGAAGATTTTTGCACTCGATCCGAAATGCAGATACACCGTCCTCGCGATCAAGCACCCTTCGGCTGCCGAGAACAACCAGGAGTGGGTTGTCATCAAGGTTCGTGCCAGTCAGGGACACGCCAGCAGCGTTGATGCTGATGGCGACATCAGCCGGAATCAGTATGCACTTGCGAAGGCCGTCTATGGGAAGCATCTCCCGGAGGACGCTCGCAAGGTTGGACTGCAACTTTCACCGGTTGATGATGGCCCTGGCAAACTATACCATCGCACGAGCAAGAACGCAGCCGAGAACATCGTCAGGACAGGTTTGGTCCCGGGTGGCGTTGGTGTCACGGAGAGTGGCCGCTCGCAAAGCCATTTTTCCATCCACCCGGTAGAGAGCTCATCGTACAATGCTGGAGTCCGAGCAACTATGCCCATTGAGTTGGTGATCGACTTCAAGTATGCGATTGAGCTCGGAGTGGTGTTTTTCCTTTCCGAGTCTGATGTCATGCTGACCAACGACATCGTTCCCAATGACTCCATTCTGTACTACACAGACGCGAAGACCGGAGAAGTGCTTTGGAGGAACGCCCTTCGGCTTGAGGCATTGGAGAATCAAACGACTGTCGATATGCTCGCCGCAAGGCGAGCCGTCACTGTGACTGCAGACGAGGCCTTTCAGACCGATGCGGAGGGGAACAGGGCCACAAATCCTGAAGAAGAGCAGACAAATGAGGATACGGCCGCTTCTCGCCCGGGGCAACCCGCGGCCGACACCTCAGTTGTCCGTTTCAAGACCTTTGCGATGCCCGTCCACTACACGGACTGCAGCCTCTGCGGCGAGGACATGATGCAGGGGCAGATCAAGTGTCAGCGCTGTGGACGGAGCACCAAGGAGACCAACGACGTCCAGCTCTTCAGAGCCGCAAAGCGGAGGATGCAGATGCTTGAGGAGGTGAGCCACCGCGTCGGCAAGACGGTTGACCAGCTCCTCATCAATGATTTCAAGGGCTATGCTGATGTTGCAAAGAGAGGAGCAACATCCTTTGAAGCCAAGCAGATCGAGGCTTCAAAGAACTACGACAGCAGGGCCCGCAAGCTTGGGTACGGCAACGTGGTTGATCGGTTCGACAAAGACGCAACCTTTGCCCTTCGCATGGTGGAGCAAGGGCACAACCGCGACAGCCTCTACCAGATGTCCATCTATAGGTTTTGTGTCCTCCCCGAACTTCCACGGAGTTATGACCAACGACTTCTCGGGGTTGGGCCACGCTATGGAAAACGAGGCCTCCAATATGTGAGGACCGTCTACGTCACCGGCGGCCAGGTCGGGGACTATGATGACGGCCTGCTCGAGTTTCCATGGCTATTCTCGTACAACGGGAAAATGCTGAGTCTTCATCAATTCGTCGACCAGGTCAACATCCTCCCGGGGATGCGCAATCTTGTCACCTTTGGCGGGAAGTTCCCTACGCTCCGGGCAACCGGAGCCGTGGACCTCGAAGCTGAAGTCAAGGAGATTTGCGGCCAGGCGGAGGACGATGCGAAGAAGCTCGCACGGCGCAGCCAAAGGCAAAGCGCCGAGGACCGCGCCCGCGGACCTGTGCAAGCTGCTCAGCCCGCCTCCAGCTCCGCTGCCAGAAGCCGAAGCTGGAGAGATTGGGGCAGTCAGGACTGGAGCAGTCAGGACTGGAGCAGCTGGCAGTGGTCGACCTGGAGTTCGCGCGGCTGGTCTACTAGCGGAAGGTGGTGAATGCAATCCTCATCACAACGGAGCCCTTCTGAGAGAGAGTAGCAATTTGCATGCACGACGGATGTGTAATGTCCATTTTCAACGTGCAATGGATGTGCGTATGGAATCAAAGCGGGTTGCAAAACCTGCCGACATTTTCGTTGTTGCTCAATCTCAAATGAGGGGGGTGTGGATTCAGGTTCCAACCCTGTGCATGAGTGTACCTTGTACATGCTCCGCCGCTACAGACTTCAATAGCACTACCAGCAGTGTGAAAAGTAGTCAACGGTTTGCTGCTTGCCTAGGTATTACCTTAGGTGGCCTAGGCTTGATAACACAGCACCATACCATGGGAGCAAGCCGTCCTAGAGACGGGTTGCAAGGCGAGCCCATGGACCAGCGGCTCATGGACTACGTCAGCGTAGACGTCGAGGACTCGCCCCCCCCCCACCCCTCCCCCCCCACCCGCTGGCGAGCATGTGAGGGTTTCTTTCTACTGGTTGGATTCAAGGGGGTATCTGTGATGTTGTTGATTTATGTGTTTACTCTTATGCCGTACATACTGCTTTTGTGTTCCTTGTTTTTGGTTTATGTTAGTGATTTGTTTTTGATAGTTATTTATGTGGTCATGGCAGCATCCTACTCTGGCATGAGTATACAGATGTATGCATACATGTATATTTTAAGCATTGCAAGGTTTGTCTGAGGTTTTCTATTACAATTAGGGTAGGCATTTGGGCACATTCAAAAAGGTGGAGCTGCCGGGTGCGCCCCATGGTTCATGTCTTGTAAGTTGGTTGATGGGTTGTCCCTTAGTTTTGGCTGGCGGAGCATTCGGCTTCACGCAGAATGTGGGTCAACATCCTCTGGGGTCCTGAAGGTGTTTAAATCACGCGTCACATTGTTCGAAGTATCAAGCGCCGGTTCATTGCCGTTTGACTCGGTCCCCCAGTAGTGCCCTTTCTCACCCCTTTTTTGGGGGAGGGTTCTCCTTCTAAAATAGGCTGCAGAAGAAAACAATGCGTCCAATGTTTGGCTTCTCGAGTCATTTTCTCGGACAAAAGTGGTCAGTGTCAGTCTGGGTCTCTTCGGCGCTAGGAGCTGCCAACTGCCCGCTTGGTCACCGACCCTCAGGGCGCCATGGCCAAGTACCGGCTATCCGGCGAGATCACAGAGGCAAAGCGGCCTCTTGCGATTGATTTGTTTTTGTCAGTTTGTTTGCTTGCTTTTTGGACTGTCTGTTTGTCTGTTTGGCAGTTTGTCTGTTTGTTTGTTTGGCTGTTTGTCTGTTTGTCTGATTGTCTGATTGTTTGTCTGATTGTCTGACTGTTTATTTGCTTGGTTGTTTGTTTGTTTGATTGTCTGTTTGTTTGGTTGTCTGTCTGTCTGTCTGTTTGTTTGTTCGTTTGCTTGCTTGCTTGCTCGCTTGCTTGCTTGTTTATTCCTTTGCTTGGCTTGCTTGCTTGCTTGCTTGTTTGTGTGTTTGTTTGTTTGTTTGTTTGTTTGTTTGTGTGTTTTGTTTGTTTCTGTGTCTGTGGGTTTGTTTGTTTCTGTGTCTGTGGGTTTGTGTGTTTGTTTGTTTGATGGTTTGTCTCTTCCGTTTGCTTAAGATATATTTATGTCCCCCTTGACAACATGTTTCTATTGGACATATGATTTTTTCCCATGGGGGCTTAAGCAATGGAGGGTTTGCTTGTTTGTGCGTTTACGTTTGTTTGTTTGATTGTTTGTTTGTTTGTTTGATTGATTTTGGGTTTGTGTGCTTTTCCGTCCTTTGTTCTGATTGCCAAACAAGCTTGCTGGATCTTGCTTGGTCAGTGTCGCCACTTGCAACATTTCTGGACATGGCCCTCAGGGTTTGCTTTTGTTAATGTGACCTGTAGGCTTTGCAGGCAGGCTTCACGAGGTTGCCATTGTGACAGTCACACCGCAAGTAGGCTACGGGAAAAGAACCCTGGTTTCTGACTTTGATAAGAAATGAACTCGTTGCAGAGCGAATATCGGGACCAGTTTTTGAAAAGGCGGTGTTGGCACGTTTGGCAAACTGCCAAACGGTGCCAGCTCTCATTCGTTTTTCAAGCTTCAGGCTTTGCACTTTCTTGTCGAATTGGCAGGCCTTAGCCAAGGCCCAAAGACTTCGAGCTTTGAATGTCCACTCAACGGGCGGGGCTTGCCATTTTGGGAAAGAAAGGAACAGCTCGGGTGTGGCAGCCCTCGTTGGTGGCTTTCTCATCCCAAAGGGGAGTCAAAAGCGACAGCCAGATCGGAAGAGCGTGTGGTTGTTTTCCAAGATGGCTGACCCCTGAACCTTCCCTGTTTCCTTTTGTTTCCCCTCAACAAACCCGCTCGAAAAGCGCTTGTCACCGGTGTGGTTGGAACCTGAATCCAAGGGCACCTAGGCGAACCCAAGGAAGGCGCCCGAGCCGGGGTGAGAGCTGCCAACTCCGCTCGCAGGCGGCCTTGCTGAGCTTTGTGCAAGACTTCGAGGCCGGAAGGCTGGAGAAGTACCTGAAATCCGCGCCCTGGCCGCGTTGGGTTTGGGCGGATTGGAAGGCGCGACGCGTCCCTGAGCCCCCTCAAAACGGGCTCAAGACCAGTTTTTCAGGCGATTCGATGGAAGCTTTCAGGGCCTGTTTGGAAGACTTGGTTCCGTATGGCTGTGGCTCAAAGAATGGGAAATTGCACCTTGGTCAATGGAACCAAAGACTAAAACCGGCGTTTTGCCCTAGCTCTTTAATTGTGAGCCACACCCTGTGGATGGTGATGTCTTACCAATGTGCGAATAGACCAAACGAAGCTTGGTTCCCGAGTTTCCAGGCTTTATGCTAGTTGGGATCACACCATTTTAGTGGTAAGCACACAGTTTAGACTTCTGTTGGCCAATCTCGATCGGATTGTTTCACCTCTGTTGCTCGCTGTTTGTTGCACTCTTGGTACTCTTTTGGCACGCGTCCAGGAATCCAGGCTGCCAAACCATACCTGGAATGGTTGGGTCGCCGGGATCAGATGCACCAAATTGTGTGTCGCATGTGCTGCTCATCCAAATTCAGCCTTTCAAGTGGCGCGTAACAACCCTGGGACCTTGTCAATCAAACAGGGTTTCGTTTCGGCCTTTCATGATTGCTTGTGCACATCGAGGCCTCAAATGATTTTGCTAGAGGGTTTGGTCGAACAAATGCTTCTCACCCCTTTTCTCAGCGTGGCTTTCACTTTAATGTCTCTTGAAGGTAGCCTCCACAGCAAGGTTTCCCACGCTTGGGCATGGAGTCCCAGGGAGGCTCAGAGAGTTTCTAGGCCGTTCCGAGGGTCTCCTGACTTGAAGGGCTGAACACTTACTACGTGTTGCTTAGAGGCTTGCCAGTTGTAGGGCCCATTTAAAAGAGGGCGGCTATTTTTGTTTGTCTTCTAGGAGGCCTCCGGTGAGAAGCCGCAGCGGATAGGAGCCGCCGCTTTCGATAGGAGCCGGTGCCTGCTAGCCAACCCGGCCCCGAGCCTTGGCGGTTTTTGCACCCGGCGGTTTGGGTGGTTTTCTTTGGGTGTTTGGTCCTTGAATTCCCCGAAGCCGCCCCCCCCCCCCCGGCCCCCACCCATGTGTTTTTCCGGGTTTGTTGAAGACACCGGGACCAGGGTGGGAAAGAAATCACGAGGTCTCAAGATGGGTTAAGACCCTTTGGAAGAAACAGGGGAGTTGGAGCCGGTTTTGGACCCCGAGTTGAATTGCGTCCAAGCATCCAAGGGTTGTGAAATGGCACCCTTGTTGCTCCCCGGACACAGTTGGACACCCTTTTGAACGCTTTTGTTGGTTTTATTCGCAGGGGGCAGGGGTACCTTGGGCAAAACGAGCTCACTGAAGGCCCTTTGGAGATCCCACAATCCAGCGGGGTTGGTGAATAGCGATTCGTGCGGAGTGGTTTCGAGTTTGTTTACAGGACCTCTGCTGTCGTTCTGAGGGGGTGGGACTCTCACATAGTCACGCCGGGTTCCTGGCATGTTGCTTTTGGCCAATTCAAATGTGCTTGACCGAGAAAAAGGAACTCCCTTGAACTCCGAAAGCACAAGGACAGAAGCATTCCTGTTCCGGAGGATTACCCTTGGTGCGGTTTTCCTTTCAAAAGTAGGGCACGCCTTTTAGGAAGGGTGATGTAACTTGGCGAGGAAGTCACAATCTCGGCGCCGTGTTTTTCATTTTCCCCACTTCGGGAGGCATCCACGCTGCAGAGTTGCTATGTGATTTCTTCTTGTTTGTGTTTTCCTTCCACTTAGGCACCTAAGGCAAAAGATCCTTTTTCATTCCCATGCCTTCTGGGGTTCTAGGTCGCAGTTATGCTGAGTTTGACCATGGCTCGCAGCTGCAAAGACGGTGCCCTGAGTTGGCTCTAAGAAACAAGCTTCGGGCCCACTTGCTCAGTGGCACCCCCTCCCTTTTGGTGTCACGTGGGGCTAAAGGAGCCCCAAGTGCGGGGGCCTCCTTTAGTCCAGGGGCCCAAAGTGGGAGGATCTTTGGGATTTTTGTTTCATTTGTTTTCCCAATGTCAGGCTGTATTTGGCTGTATCTTCTGACTATTTGCCTGAGGCTCCGATCGAAAGACTGAAGACACAGAGCTGACGGGACAAATCGCAGATGCCTCGATCGATTTCACGACTAGGTGTACACACTGGTGCAGTCTACTTTTGACTCCATCGTCAAGGACCCCACCAAGGAGCCGCAGCTTTACGCATGCGCTCGAGAATTCCGCTTGCATTTCGAATGCCCCCGGTTGCCGCGTTGTTTGCGTCGTTGTGCGCCAGGCTTCCGCCATTTTGAGATTCATGACCATGGAACAGGCGATGTTTCGTTTTTGTTGGAGGCGACCAGAAAAACAAGACCAGCATTAGCGCATTGGGGCACTGGGGTGCGGCCCACTTTGAAAGTGCTTGGCTGACGTGAGGGCTGCTGATGGGCATCGATGCTCTGCAAGCAAAAGGGGACTCAAACACATTGTACATGGAATACCTCGGATGGCATACATGTCAGTGGGGAAATTATGACAATCTGCTTCCTGACGTTCGGGGATCCCTTGAAAAGGAAATGGTCCAAACCAGGACCCCGGACCCCGCGAAGGAAGGGATTTCCAGGTTAAATGGTTGAAATGGTGGGAGGGTATCTGGGCAAACTACCAGAATTAACTAACCGTAAAAAAAAGGGAGCTTGGACACGGGTTGAACGCCTGCGAGTCCCACACGCCGAGTTTGGTGAAGGCCACCTACGGGAGAGACGTACAGAAATAGAGAGCGACTTAGACGGGGGCAGAGGCAGAAATTGAGACAGGTGACATCGAGAGAAACGAAAAATAGAGAAATAGCTTCAAGAAACCAGAGGAAGAAAAAAACAGCAGCACTAGGTCACCTCGGATTTCTGTGCCCAGGACGTGCTGGTGGAGTTTTATGCCCCCTGGTGTGGTCACTGCAACTGGGTGCAAGTTTGGTCTTAACTTCACAGTGCGGTCTCCTAACGTATATTGTTGAATGGGTAGACAAAACATGGCACAGAATCAAAACACATCTTTCGAATGCGCCAGATCTCGGCGAAGTGTTATTGGTTTGGAGGCGGGGGTCGCTTACGGAGCTTTCCTTTTCGTGGATTTGACATTGTCCATTTTAGCAGGTTCTGGCCCCTGCGGAACCAGGGTTTGCAAGGCCGTGCTCTACGAAAGCTGTCGGAACAAGGGAGTTTGCCAAAATGAAACCATGGTTGAAACCATTGTTTGTTGGGATTTACACGGGAATCATCAGAAATCCGGGTTCTTAGGTGGTGCGAAATGGATGTTGTCCATCCACAAAGAAAGTTCTCTCGTGCGTGTTAGTAGTCTCTTCCTTGCCTCGAGGCAACCGTTTGAGACGTGATGGAAGTTGTTTTGGGTGCTGGTTACTCGTAGCTCGCCAGATCTAGCGCCTTCTGTCGCCCAACAGGATGCACAGGGGTGCACAGGAGTTCCTCTGGTAGTCGGTCTTGATGTGAACCGTAACGGGGCCCGCGGACTATCATGTAGGGTAGTGATCCAAAAGATCAAATTCAAAGGAACTTTATATATTCATTTTAAGGGTACCCCATGTTAAAACATATACGGGGTTCGCAAAAGGTCAAAACCTCGTTGACCGCCTCTGTGCATCGGGCGTCCGGTAGTCTTTGGCAACTTGGCACGCGACGCAATTGAACGAGGGCGTCTGAACAATTACTCCTAGCAAAACTTTGGTTGACGTTTGAAGGGGAGCAAACAAATAAATTTTAGCAGTTGAGTGGGGATTTCCCACTAAACTACAACACATGTAAAATGTTTCCCAACAACAACCATGAAACGTCGTTTTATTACTCGGCAGCTGTTGACGCCCACCCTTTTGAGCTGGACTGATCCAAAGACGTGAAGGCTTCACCAAAGCAACTCTACAACAAAAAGGTAGATCCCCGCATTTGTGGCCTGTTGAGTGCGCAAAGGGCCCCAAACGGGTTCTCACTAGTGGGTTCCTGCTTGAGAGGGACAATCATGCGTGTAGCATCCCAGCATCCATTTGGTAGAACTCATTTAGGGTCACTCAAATTCCAGGTCGCAGTGTGTGACAGTGTCATTGGCATTTCCTAGGAAGGAAGCTTCCTGTTTGGGCTTGTCTCCAAGGCGGAACATGGCGGAAAACCCGAAGGTTGGCCTTTGGGTTCCTTACACTCCAAACAGGGTGCCTAAGAGACTCGTGTTCCCTGACAGCACCCTGGAAGATACGTTCCTTTTGGAAGCCATTTCCACTTGCCCAAAGTCGACCTGTTGACCTTTCAGGTTTCCTTTTGTTGGTCCATTTTTCGTCATGGCCCCGGACATAAAAGAGGGCTCCCTATACTCCCCTGTTAATCATCACTTCACCAAAAAGGAAGGTCCTTGTAAATTGGCCCAAGGGGCGATGTCTAAAACCACCGAAAGGGGGAACCTTTCATATGCATGTCATTTGGCCATGGGTCAAAATCCCGTTCCCCCAGTTCACATCCCAATCCCCACTAAAATAGGTTCTAAAGTGGGTGGTGAATTCACCTACCAACCAAAATGGGATCCCAAAACCAGCCATGTTGCGCTTTTTGCCAACCACCTAGATAATGCCACGTCAGACAAGTCCCCAAGTGTGTGTCAAGCTCGTTGTGCAATCACAATCGGTCAGTGCTTGCGTGAAACAGGGTGCCCTGCATTTCCCTAACCACGGCCATTTGGGCAGCGCATTTGGCTTCCAGGCAAGAAGCTGGAGCCGGTCTACAACGCGGTGGCCGCGTGAGCTGCATTTGGAGCGAAGTCGCCACACGGAGTTGACGCTCAGTGCCCAGCCAGACCCTGAGACGTTTACCCACCAACTAACATGGAAGTGCAAAAAGGTTCTTGGTCTGTGACTAACCCATGTTAGCTGGTGGGAGGCTAGACTCTTTTAGATGTTTGGCGTTGAGAGGGAGCTGGGCGTGTCGTTTTTGAGGGTACCACTTTTATTGCGGCTTGAAAGCTATGGGGTCTTTGGCAGACAAGCTCTGGTGTCCCCAGGGAGGGTTGAAAAGGAGACCCCCAAAATGGTGGTCTTCCCTGTGGTTTCTCTTCTCTTCAAAACCACCAACAACAGGTACCCTCAAAAAGGCATCCATTTGTTGAATCTGAACCTTCGTAGCTGAAGGAACCGCCTAGAATGGGAGATTCTATTCTTGCCCATGTTGCCATACGTCGCATCAATCCCAATGGCAAAGAAAGGCCAACTTGAAGCCAACTTGCGAAGGGAATTCGAGCCGAGATTCCAACGGAGGAGCTGCAAGTTACTGGACCCAGGCCCAGGGTTATGCTTTTCTTGTGTTCCAAAAGGGGTTGTGCTATGCACTTCCATGCATGTGGGTGTGTCTTTTTTGAGGGTGCCCCTTTTTTTTTCTGGTTTTAAGGGGAAACCAGCAGGGAATCCACTTTTTTTGTGGCCCCTTACAAAAAGACAAACTTGACGCTCCTGGCGAGCAGCATGCCCAAGTTCCGGCGAGCATGCGCGCCTGTTTCCTTCCCAACTTTGGTGCGCAACATGTTGTTCTCAGTTGGCCAAAGCCGAGTTTTGACCCTTTGGTTTTTTTAGTTTGGGTCCATTTTTAGGCCCCAAAAGGCCAACCTTTTGTTTCCAGGTTCTTTGGGCAACTGAGTGTTAGGTAAGGCTTCATTCCCATGTTTTCTAAGACTGGCTTTTAATCCCAATGGGCTAGGCGCCTCAAGTTGTTCACATTTCGTGGGGTGATTTCCCAAAATGTGCGTTGTGGGCACAACCTCTAGCACGAAAACGATGAAGTTGGCCTGTCAGGGAGGTTCCTTTGTTGGGGATCCCTTTTTGTTCGGCGGATGTACGGCATTTACCCAGATGGCTTGATCAGCAATTTCTCAGGGGCACAACTGGGCGGTGTGAGCAAAAGGCAAGTACGGGGTCATGAGGATGGAGAGCTCAGGCACAGAAGCTTCAGGGCGTATCGTCAATAACGAGACTTGGCTGCTCAGAAAATGCAGCATGGTTGAGTAATGGCAAGTGCTTGACCATGTCTGCCGTGCACTTTGCGTATGTACTTGCATGTGTGTGCGCGCGCAAGTGTGTGTGTGTGTGTGGGTGTGTGCGAGCTTGCATATATGCCTTCCTGGGTTAGTGCACATCTGCGTACTGATTTGCCTGCATGCCCGTGACGCCCGCGTGCTGCGTGTTTTTTTTGGATGCCGGGGTGGTAGCATGCCTGCGTTTTTGCCTGCCTGCATATTAGTCCAGTGTTGTGTATTTTGTCCTTTTGTGTGTGTGTATGTAATTATTATTCCTTTGCGTTGTTTTGCATTGCTTTGCATTTCTTTGCGTTGCTTTGCATTGCTTTGCTGGCTGGCTGGCTTGCTTGCTTGCTTGCTTGCTTGCTTTCTTTTCTACGTGTGCGTCGCGTGCTTGAAGCTTTTGTTTTTTGTCGGCCCGGTTTTCCCAAAGAAGCTTCTTATGCTTCCCACGGCCAATAGAGGTCTGGCAGTCTGGGATATCGAGTGCGGCGCAAAATGGCTGTGGATCAAAACCAATGGTACCATCTTGGGGTAGGTGCACCACCCATTTTAGAACCTATTTTAGTGGAGATTGGAATGTTCACTAGGGGTACGATTTGGATTTTGAGCCATGGCCAAATGAATACCATGAACACCATGAATCCCCAAGGATCGCCAAGATCGACGCGACGGCCAACGATGTGGACGGTGTTGACATCGAGGGCTTTCCCACCATCAAGTTCTGGCGCGCCGACAGCAAGGCGCCTCGTCAATCTAATTTTGACTCAGAGCCATGACAAGGAGTGCCATGGCCCTTAATGGGCTCCAAATCGCCACTAGTCACTATTGAGCTGCAATGGCTCCCCTTATAGCTCTAAAGGATGTGATTATTTCTGGCGAGGTCAGAATGTAAGCCTGGTGGTAGCCAGGCTTACTTGCCCCGTACCCTGGCGCGTGAGGAGGAGCCGCTCGACTACGACGGCGACCGGGATGTGGCACCTCCGGCTCGAAAGGTCCCGGAGATGTCGGGGGGAGATGCCTCCACATACAACAGGAAGGGCTTCCCAAAGACTGTTTTGTTGATTCGTTCTGGGAGAGGGCATTTTCATGAATGCAGGACACCCACCACACATCTCCCCTCCACAGGGCTGAGTACTACGAGCGGGGGGGGGGGGGGGGGAAACGATCTTATCCATCAGGTCCTGTGCTGGGAGGCAGACACGTCCAGCTTTTCGTGCAGGTGGATAGGGGATGACGCAGAGGCATAGAGAGTCGCACAGCCGGAAGTTGAGAGGGGGGCTTCGGATACACGCTGCCTTTAGAGCATACACATGCATATTCATAATGTAGGGAATGCATGTGAGTGTGTAGGAAGAATGCAGACAGATATAGTTATAGAGCTATCCCCTTTTTTTCTACATATATGTATATATATATACATAATGTACTGATTCAAACTGGTCTTATTCCAATCATGTTGACGACCTGCCGCTGAGCAGGTTGTGTTTGTGCTTCTATTCTCCTTAGTCCTCAAACTTTGTTTGTTGGATCTCCTATAGTATGAGAACAGGGCACACATTTTGTTTGACCCCTCTTAAGTCGAGGGAACATTTGGAATTTTGGGTTCAACTTGGGCTTGCCAATGTTTGACTATGTTTGATGTAATATTGCCAATGCTTAATCCGCATTCCCAGTATATAGACTTGTTGTAGTGTTGTCCATGGTAGACTCAGTATTACCAGTACTTCCTCGACATGCTGGGGTACACCAGTTGTTCAGTTTCACCCGCTTTGCCTTTGTGCTTGGTGGAGGTTCACTTTTTGCTCCGAAGCGGCCGCGCTCAGGACTCCTTCGTCGCGTGGTTGGAGGACAAAGCCGCGAAGCCTTTTGGGCGGCACAGCGAGCTGTGAGACAACCGCCCGTGCGGCGGCCAAAAGCAAAATCGGCAGCGCCGAGTGCGCGCAGCGGAAAGAAGTAGGGATAAGTCGAGCTTGAAGGCCATATCCTCAGTTGCCCAGAATGTTAAAGCTGGATCAAGCTAAGCGGACCTGAAGTGTTTTTTTTTCCCCACGGCACTTTGTCACGAACCTACCTGTGGCTTCGCCTGCTATAGCTCTGAATTCATTTTGTTTTTTTGTTTCTACCTTTCACCGATTTGTCATTGGACCACTCAGCAGACCCAAATGAAGCTTCGTGCGAACCCGATTAAATTCCTAAGTGCCAGGCAAATTGTTGGATTTCCCAAGCAGGATTCATCACGGGTGAGCTGGTTTTACGCCCAGGTAGGCTCGTTACGTTTTGACCAGGGGTATGAACCCTTGACCCCACGGGTGTATACAATGCCATGCAACAATAGCATACATGCAACAATTGCATAATTCCAACACCCATGAGTCTGAACCAATGAAAACGTTACCTCAGGAAACGCGCTCACACAATCTCACACAGTTGGCAGCCCGGCCCTACGTGTTCTCCTTCCAGTTTTGGAAACGACAAGTACGTTCCCACTAACATGGCACCAGTGGGAAGGTACCTGCAAGATCAATTTCCTCTTATGTTAGTGGGTGGGAGGGTACTTTGGCGAGATGACTTAGATTGTTTCCTTCGAACGGATTTTGTGGTCCCAATTCTCGGACGAACGTGCTATGTGGGATCGGACAGGTCCGGCGATAGCACCGGCGATTCCTGAGGCGTGGGGCAGAGCAGACCGGCTCCGTTTCGAACTTGTTTCCTGGGGATATGTTGGTGGCTCGTCTTTTTTGGAGGGCGCCGTGTTTGTTGTCTTGAAGGAACTCTCACAGGAAGATTGTGACTTGTATGTCAGCACGTCTTGGGAGTTGCCTGGAAAATCCTCTAAACCCTGAGGTCTCTAGCCCACAAACCCGATGCCCCAGTCCATTTTGTGCTGTTCGATTGGATTCTGAAGCATGTGAAGCTACAACTATAGTGAGTGGGCGTGGGCGGATCATTTGGTTTCCTCGTGTTGGCCTAATGCGTGGCATGGCCGCCAAATGCATCCACATAGATTGGAGCTCAACCCAGCCACTTTTCAAGCAAGTATCGCAAGGTGCCCAACCCATACACAATAACCCGGCATTTGTTTAGCTTTATACGATGGATCCTGCACCACCTAAGAAACCCTGAAATGATTCGATGCTCCTGTAAACACCAAGCCATGGGAATATTGCCACCGGCTGAGAGACAAATTGTGATTAAGCCCAGAAAGGCTCAATCCGAGCCGGAGGCGATTCGGCACACCCTCAAAGACCAAATTTTGCCAACGAGTGGTCGGGCCCTTGGATAACTATGCGGTGGCCTTTGAAACCAAATTACTTCCTAGGTTTGACACATGTTCAATCCAAAGGCCATGAGTCCACTACTAAAACAGACTACAGAAAAAGAAACGGTGCCCTTATTCTCACCTCTCTACTGGAGGACCTAGATAGTTACTTGGCCCCTTTGCCATACGGATGGAGGTGCCTTTGGGTTTCGAAGGATTGCCCGGTTCCCCCCCCCCCCTCCCCCCCCGCCGCGGTTTGCCAGGACGCTGAGGCTGGAGTCCGTGGGGGCAGATGGGATTGCGGAACAGCGCTCGCGTTCCTTTAGTCTGACCTGGCCCCATTTCTTGACCGCTCTTGGCATCTTTAGACTTCAACTTTTTGGGAAATCAAGGGGTTTTCCACTCAACCCCCAACAAGTTAAACTTTTTGCAGGGGGGTCAACAGAACCAGCTACCTGCACTCTTCCGCGCACCCTCTTTCTCTTTGTTGGGGGTGCTTTGCTACTCTTGAATTGTGTATTATTATTTTTTGCGTAGGGTGCTGCACTGTTTCCTTGGAATGTGTGTTGTTGTTCGACGCATTTGCTTCACTTCCCGGAACACTTGTTTCAGCTTGAAAATCTGGGCTTCAAAGCAACGTCTGAGAAGAAGGGTCGAGAGAGAATGTGCGGGTCGAGAGAGAATGTGCGGGTCGAGAGAGTATGTCCGGTGTCCGCTGTTTTGCTGCACACCTGGGCCAATGCGGGTTGGTGCACAGACTCTTTTGGGAGACTAAATGGCCTGTGCACTTTCATATACAAATATATATATATGTCTTGGTTAGTAAAGCTCAGACTTGGCCTCCCTGTTGTCCTTGCAACACATTTGAGTGTGTTGTTGCGCTTCTGGTCATGCGAACGGGCCATACATCCAATGTGACAACGCAAGTAAAAGCCACCACTCATTTGCTGACACTCGGCAAGCAAAAGAGGGGCCCCTGCATTGGAATTCCAATTTCCGAGTGGATGCCGTTCCTTCACTCACCGTGGCCAACGAAAAAGGCCTTGCACACTCCTTGGGATGCAATATTTTGTTGCTGTTTCGGGGGTGCCTTTGGTAGTCAGGACTTACTTGAGCCACAATCAAACCCGGGTGGATGAAGGTTAGTATGGGACAAGGTTCTGAGTAGACCATTTTAATGCTGGGTTTTGATTCTGACTCACTTGTTCCAAGGGATGCATGTCATGAAGCTGTCAGCTTCAGCCAAACGCCTTGAAACGGGAAGCCGGCTTGGGGCTTTCTCGGGATCCTTTGGATGTGTAGCCTTTCCCGGGTTTCAAGAGAGATGTGTAATGTGTCCTCCTTTGCTCTTACCTCTTAAAAACACAACTTTTAAACTTTTTGGTGGTAACATGGGCTAAATGACTTCCCCAGGGCTTGGAGTTTTAAGGGGTAAGTGCTAGTTCCTCCTATTTGAGGTGGCACTTTGAATCAACACTTGCCGTCCAAATCCAAGCTTTAGACCTACCTTTGGGTGAACTCTGCCCCAAACCGCGTTGGATCAAAGAAGGTCAGATCTTGGGGACTCCTTCCTGGGTGGTAACCCACATGTTTTTGTTTTCCCAAGAATGCCCAAAGGAGACAGACAATACATTTGTTGGACCCGGCTTGCAGCACCCACTTCAGGCAGTATCTTGATTACTGCTTGCAATTGCAGACTGGGTATAGTTGATATAAACGCCCCAAGCAGATCTGAACTAGATTGGGGGTGCGGGGACTTCACAATCAACATTCAGCATCCCCCCCCCTGGCCCCTGCACACACGTATGTGTATAGGTATATATATATATATATATCTTCATGCCAACGCCAGGACGTGAGCACCTGCCAGTTCTGCGGCATGCACAATGCCGAGGCCACCCAGGACGGATCATATGGATCCCTTTTTCGAGTCGCAAAGCCAGGACAGTCCGGCCGGAAAGCAAACTCGGCGGGTTGGACGTTTGGGCCAAAGACTCGGAAAGTGAGACACCCCATCGGGTATGGGCCTTGGGTTTGGCGAAGAGAACGCCATGCTTTTCTGAAAATGACGGCCCTTGGGGTGTTTTGCACCACTGTCCGCATGCGCGGCAAGCAAATGCGGAAACAAGCAAAGTGGCAAGCACCAGGGCTTTCCGGCTTGGGCCCCGCACAGGAAACAAGCTGGATATGATCTAGGAAGTTCGCCAAAAACCCAGTCCATACCCAGGGGTTTGGGCCACCACGGGTGTCTTGGCGAACTTCTTGGACGACCTTCTCCTGTAGCCTGCATCCTGGGTGCTAAACACCCCGCGTGTTTCAATTGGCCACGGGAAAACCAAAAGAGCAACAGGGGAGTTCGCCACACCCTACCCTAGCAACAGCCACCCTGCCGGGCCGGAACCACAAGCCAGGAAGCCATGGATGTGCACTACTGGCGCGAGCCCGTGACCAAGACGTCACAGATGGCACGTCTTATGGGGCGGTTTTTTTTTTTTTGTAAGGGTACGTTGTAGTTGGTGCAAAGGGAAGCCAAAAAGAGCACCAAGGTTTGTGTCAGTCCCCCTGTTTGGACACGTCCCTGAATACGAGGCTTGGTGGTTGATGTGAATGTCCAACATTCACTGGCCTGGGGGCGGCCACATTCAACAAGATACATGGAGCTTGGTGGTTCCCAGCCATCCGATTCCTTAGGTTTTTAGCTTTGTAGGTTGTAGCGGTTGGGTTTTTGTTCAACCCACGAGTGGTCGAACTTGCAGCGCAGGGAGGAGATTTCACTTCCTGTGATTTCTTGTTGTGGGCAGAGCCCTTGAGACAACCGCCTGGCTTTGGGCCAATCGGAGGTGTCCAATGCTGACGCAATGCCAGAACTGTACATCCGGCCTGTTGAGCTCCGTGTTGGTTTTTGGTGCCTTCTTTTGCAGGGCTCCTTAAAAGATACATTTTGCAAATTTGAAACATGGCTTTTTCCACCGAAATAAAGGGAAACCACCATTTAGAAGACAATGTTCAGGTGTATAGTGTAAGGATCCCTGATTTTGGAGTTACCCTTTTTAGGGTTGGTTTTGAAGGGAAACCTTAAAACACCTTCAGCCAAATTCAAGCCGTGGCCCCATGGCCGCAAGGTCCATTTGATTCCTGCTTTGCTTTGTGGGCGAGTTTGTATATGGGGGGATCCAAAAAATTCAGGGCGTTCCTCTCTGAGTTCTCTCAAACCAACTTGGAATGAACCCGCAAGAAAAAACAGAAGCCCAATAATAACAGAAGCCCAATGATCAGCGCGCGTCTTGGGATCACCAGGTTCAGAGCTCGCGGCCTCCAATTCTTTTGCCGGTAGTGAAGCTGTGAATAGACTGAATTGTTGTGCAAAGGGTCCCCCAAAGAGCCTCCCCAAGTTGTCGACACAGAGCTCGATCCCCCTCTCTGGAGCCTGCCTCACAATGGGAACAGTCAGTCGCTGCAAGCCGAATAGCTGAATAGCTGTTGGTGCGACCTTCTCCCGCTTGAGAGTTTGTGGATAATTTATGCACGCCAACAATAGCGAAGCAAATCGCAGGCAGCTTGCAGGTTCCGATGTTGGGGTGTCTGAGGTTCTGGGTACTTGTCAGAAGTGAACATTAGCAGATGTGGCAAGTTTCTAGGACAGAAGCTGGCTCAACAAGTCAACATGGAAATCACAGATCGGCGCCAAACCCTGGCGACAGGTTTTGTATATTGCCGGGGGTGCTTGATAACCCCCCCTCACTCCAAGGCAACATACTATGGATGGACAAAATCCACTTCCCACCAGTCGTGACACAAATCTTATGAACGCGGGGGAAAACCTAAGTACCAACTGGTGCAGGATTCTGTCCATGGTGTCACTCCGCATCAATCGTTTGCCTAGGGAGTTATACCAGCCGTCTCTGCGGCTAAGCCGCATGCCGCATAACGCAGAAAATCGCACGCTGGGCTAAGCTAGTGCCAACCTGTATCTCCTATAGTCATGAGGTGGTTTAAGTGGTTTTCGCAACCCCATTCTGATCATGTCGCCCCGTATGAGTTTGTTTGCTTTCAGGGGACCCCCCCTAAAATGGTGGATGGTCCTTTTGGTTTCCTTTAAGACTGCAAAACAGGGGGCACCCAAAAAGAAGCCACCCCTCTAGCCTAGCCGCCGAGCTTTCTGCACTGGAATGCTTACAGCCAGGCAAGCAGGTCATCGAGATCGCCTCCTTGGCCGGGCCACCAATTAAAAATATGTCCCTGAAAGCGAATGGTTTTGGAGGGTGCTTGAGAGGTTAGGTTGACCCTGGATTAAGCAGAACCAACCTGTTTATTACTATGGGGGTGGCTAAAAATTAAACAGGAGGGGTTAATCATGCGGGTTTTGGTTCATGTTTCCACTACCAGGGTTCCATTTTGGTACCGTTTTTTTGAGCCACAGCCATATGGAGTTGGGTTTTTTCAATTCCCAAGTGGTCTGATTCCTCACGAAAACCAGGGAGAAGCACCACCCAGATGAATCAACAGCGGTTTATCAATGCGGGGTGAGCATTAGGGGGATTCCAATTTCCCCACTACAAGAACCAGGGGTTCAAACCCGAATCGAACCAATCCAAACCACCAGTTAAGGGTTATTTGAACAAGCTGATGTGTCCTTTCCACTTTCAGGGAAAGGTGGACTCATTTTCCCACTATTGTGATCTTTGACGGTATTAGATGTAGTTGTTGTGCTACCAACTGTGCCTACAGTGCATGTTTTTTTCTCTCAGTGGCATCACCCCGCTTCTAGTGGCTGATTGCCTGCTGGCTCCATAAACAATATTTGGTGCCCAAAGCACGACACACCTGCATGGTTATGAATCATGAATATTCACTGTTGCTCATCTAGTGACAACCCGGTTGAGTACCCGGGCAATGCGCGACCCCCTGGACTTGTCCTCCAGGGACAACCCAATCTTCCCTGTGGAGTTCCATGGGACAAGAAAACGGGCACCCTTTTGAGTAAACCGGGGTTACCTTCAAGCGAGCTTCAGCTTGTTCCTTTGGGCGTCCTTTGGCCGAAACGCCTCAGAAAGGGTAGCCTCCCACCTACGCCTCGCACCCTACCACTAACACGGACCCTAAGAACTAGCCCCTGGAAATTTATTTGTTTCCAAGCACACGCAGACGTTGTATTTTTGAACCTTCCGGCCACGGATCTGCTCGTTGGGCCGGGCGACGCGTGTGGAGTCGCCCGGTTTTCAGGCAGCCCACTTGCGCGAAGAGTGCGAAGCCGGGTCTCAGGACCGATTCGGCGCTCTCCGGCTCGATCCCAGCCTTTTCCCACATGGAAACCAACAAGAGGGTCCCCCCAAAAAGAGATTGCGACCTAACATCCACGCGACCTATCCTCCATGTCTTTGTGGGTTCCATCTTAACCCGGAGGATACTTACATCCCTCTTTAAAAAGAATATGTGGCCTGTTTTTCCTTGAAATGGTGAGTGGACACCAATCACTTTCTTTGCTTCGAACCGTAGGAATTTTGCTTAGCTAAAGACTGCAACCGCACAGGCACCAACAAGTCCATCCGAGTGCGGGCAGGGTTTTCTCAAGCATGCTGCTGGCTGATGCGACGGCAAAGAAACTCCGTCAGACCAAAAATGAACCGAGGCAGCGTTGGCCCCCAATCAATAGCAGGCTTAGCTGTCTCGAAATCACGCTTTTTGTTTGGTGGAGGTTCCCGTCAGTGGGGTACTCCGATTCTTCGAGGGACAAGGCGAGCTCTTGCAAGGACACACCATTTGCAACCCCAAGATCGAACTAAATGGACTGATAGCAGCTGAAAGCCGGCTGAACGTGTGGGCCAAAGGTTGCCGAAGCCACAAAGGGAAATGTAGGGAAGCTTGTCTTCTTTCAGATTTTGGAAGGGTCCCCCGCTCTAAGAAGTCATGAAAGATTCACACCCCTCTTGATAACATTCCCTCGCTGGGCAGAATGGAACTTGTACCGGAGCTCATGACTTCCAGTCGGAAAAACAACCTTTGCAAGCGCAGCCCATCTTCCCTTTGACTCACTTCCTGAGTTCTTGAACTTTCTACTTTTTGCGAAGACCATTCTAGTGTCTAGTGTCATGAAACAGTTTGGCTCACAAAAAATACCAACCGAGTGATGGGCAGGGCATGGGGACCCCGAGCCATTCATCTCCGATAGAAAAATTGGAGCCCCGCAGGGATTCCAAACTTCAACGCCCTTCCTGAGAGGATACAACACGAGCTCGCCTGAAGGCCGTTTTCTTGGGCATCCCTACTTCAGGTGTTTGAACCAATTCACGAGTTCCAATCAGAATGGCTTGCAATCATGCGATGCACGCGGTTTGGTCGCATGATTCCGCAAGTTGAGTTGCAGCATTTGGGCTGTGCATTCGGGTGGTATGCTGGCTCATCCTTCCCTATTTTCTATGTTCTTGGAAACCGCCCTCACGGCTGGAGTGAGGGTGTGAATGTGAATGTCAACCCAACTCGCTCGTTTTGTCAGTTTGTGCCTTTGGGCGTTGATCGTAAGGCCCGGGAAGCAGTACCCACCATGAATGTTGGCCAAAGCTTTGCCTCGCCAGGAGATCGATCCGAACTTGTGTCCGCTTTGCCAAGTGGAGGTCGGCCCGACTCCCAGCTCGTGATATGAAATCCCAAGGGTGCTTTCATGGATACCAAGGTGCTTTCATGCATACCCAGCCCGGGCGTCAAGGTTTTCTTAGAAACCCAACGCCTAAGGAATTGTCATGCTGGGGATGGCAATCGGTTTAGCAATACTGGAGTGCTCAAACTGTTTCCATCAAAGGGGATCCTTCGCGTGAGGGTCGTGTGTGGGATCTTTCAGGTTCTTAAGGTGCCGCGGTCTGTGTTGGATGGCCCGATGGTTCCGAACTAAAGCCACCCACAACAGGTAGCTTCTCAAAAGGACGCCAGAAGGAGATGTCGTTTTTGATCCAAGCACCGCATGTTCTCCGAGCATGGCAGCTACCAACAAGTCCAAAGCAGTGCCCTTTGTGAGGTCCATCAAACCAGCCCCCGCCCACCATTCCAAGAGGGATCAAACAGGTTGTGCGCAACTATTTGTTTCGGGCATGTATACTGGATAGATAGATTAGAAAGATATCAAAGATAGATATAGATATAGATATAGATTTAGATATAGATAGATGCTGAGATGCTCAGTCCGCCTTTTCTAGTGCCTTGGGTCAAAATGATTGGGTATCCACCAATCATTTCGAGAGTCCATTTGCGGTAACATGGGTCCATTGGAGGTTTACCCCCACCATGTAACATGGAGCCTGATGTTCGGCACCTTGTCCCTTGAAAAGATCTAAGGGAAAATGGTCCAATCCAGGGCCCCGAACCAAACGTCGAACGGCTCCACGTGTGGGAGGCCCCCCGCCCCCCGCTTTGCCCCGCACTCGGGTCTTTGACTCTTTGAGTCTTTGAGGTTCGGCGGAGCAGGACTGGCGCCAACACATCCTCCACGAGGGCTGCGCCTGGCGTCCAAAAGTCGGCCATGCCCGGCCCAGAAGATTTGAGTCCCGGATGGGGTGGGGTGTGTTTAGGGCATCCCCCTGAAAAGGGTTGTTGGCAAGGAACACCAAAGCAAGACTACCCTTTCTGTGTTTCTTGTTTGTTTATTAGAAACATCCCTTGTTTGGGGTTGTTTGAAAGGAACACCAAGACAAACAACCCAATTTGGGGTTCCCCTATATATTTGAGACAAACCAATATTTTTTCCCCAGGTGATTAACGTCACCTGTTGGTTGCCACTTTTGGATGAGGCTCCCCTTGGTGGCGGGCATGTTGAAGGGGGCATCCCGAGGCGCTTTTTGTTGACCTTGGGAACGACCCCAACAAATCCATCCCTTGTTGCTTCTGGGCATCCTGAATGTTCACCCCGGATTATTTATAAACCCCTGGTTGATTAATAGGGGGGTGTCCCCTTTCAGTGAAAATTCATCACTATGGGAGGGAACACCCCCCTAGTAGGTGGGACGGGTTTGTTAATCCTGGGTCAGCGTTAGGTTCATTCCTGAAACGCCGGTGGATCCCTGCGTACAGCAGAGTACAGGCACAGTGCCAAATTGAATGTTTCCCGGAGCGTTTCCCATGGAAGAATTTGCCACGGGGGGTGTTCCTGATTTGGAAACTCTTATTGCCCCCAGGCAAGACCCTATGAGTGTGCCTGGTGTGGTTCCTCAAACTGGGAAATGAGGCCTCTTTTGGTGGGCGTTTTGTTTGGAAACCAAAAGGAGGCCGACCTCCATTTCCTACTCTAGAAACATGGCTGTGTTGTTCCAGGTGACTGCGCTTGAAACATGCAGTCAGATGCCTGCGATGTAGGGGTTTTGATCACGGTGTTTAAGGCTAAGGGGTGGGAATTCGCGACCGATGTTGCCCCAAGCCTCGTTTCGTAAGGGACGATTGTTTGATCCCTTCAAGCTGAGAACCCCAATTTGGGTTGGCGAATGAGATAATTTGCCTGGTGGTGATTTTGGCAACCCAAGAGCTGAGCAAACTGTTTCCAGGACCCTTGGGTGGCCAGGTGCAGTAAACATGACTCTGAAGGGATAACATGATTCCGCAGGGTTTGCTTTCCACTAAACAATTTGGACCCCCTTCAAACTACAACCGTCTCCTTAGGTTTTTAGTTTCTTGGGGTTTAACCCACTAAAAGTGAAACATTTGGTAGGAATCCGACATTACCTTCACCAGAGAAAGAGCAAACCGAAACATACACAGAAACTAAGAGTCAAAAGCCGAACCCTGCATGAAGCCAGCTAGCCATACAACTTCGCTTAGTAAGGGTGCCCTTTAAGGTTTTGCCCCGATTCTTCGTCGAGACTGTACTCCTGGGATAGCAGCTCCCCATGCCCAGCTCCAATCCTTCAAAACGCACGGAAGAAGCAAGGGGTTGAACCCCCTGCTAATTTTAAGCCAGCCTATCCGCCTATCCAGGTGCCCCTGAAAGTTGCTTTGGAGGCGTGCCCTTCTTGATAGTTAGCCATCCCCTTAGGCTTTTAGATTCGTAGGGTGTGGCAGCTTCCAGATCACTACAAGTTGAAAAGGTTTTTGCAGTTCTGGGAACAGTCCCACTCAACAAAATAAAAACAAACATTTGTGCAGCCTGCAGGGGATTTCGAATTTGTGCGGGGGATTTTCAGCCCAGATTCGAAATCGGCAGCCCTTTGGTGCTCGGATTGGCATTTGCCCCGGCCTTCCGCAACCCGCCCCGGGAAATTCGGGGAGCTGAGGCTGGCAACCCCCGGAAGCGCTGATTCGCGGGGCGGCCAAAAAGCGGGAGAACCCGCGATGCCACGGATTTGGGGTGGGCGGCGTAGCGGGGTAAAGCGAGAGAAGGCCAGCATGGGCTCAAGGATCCAGTTCTTAGAAATTGATTTTAGGGTTTGCGCATTGCATCGTGATGGTTCTTTGCTAGGGAAGCGTTCTTTGGATTTGGTGGATCAGACTGTGATACCGCAATCTTCCTCTTTTTTGAAGCTCTCAAGCAACTGTGTGTCTCCTGCTTACTGTACGTTTGGGTTAGGTTTCCCAAGTCGAGCAGCAAACTGGATGTACTCTTCAGAAGGTTGTCGGTTCTTTTCTCTTGGGTACAGCGCCCGCTGGAACTTGAAATAAGAAAATCGGTCTGTGCCCGGCGCAAGACACCCTCCGCTTGCTGGACTCGCAGGTTTCAACCGGAGATCGCGCAGTAGACCAAGCGCATGCCCAAAGCACCAAAAAGTATGGGAATGCGGCCAAACCTGAAATCGACCGCAGAGAGCAACATTACTTCACTGTTGGCAATGTGCTTTGGGCTATTTAAAGGTTGCTTGGTTCCCGCCCGTCAGTCTTAGTAGGGGGCCACAAACAAGGTTTTTTGTTCCCATGCCAAAGCTTGTAAAGGTAACTCAAGGTCTTCGGGTTTGACACATTGCCACATGCCGCCTTTCCATTGAACTGCTCTGGGGCTCTGGGACCCACTCCAAAGCGAAGGAGGCAACCCAGCAGGCGCGCCGAAACGTTTCTTGAAATCCTTTGGTTGCATGTTAAAGGCTGAATGTACGAAGCCGTTTATGAACCCCTAGCAACCGTCATGTTGGCTTGATTGTGGGAAAGCAGCCCCAAAATGGTTCACCAGGCTTCATGGATTGAGCCTCTGACCAAGACCAAGCCAGTTGAATGGTGTCCCCAATGGGACGCGCTCAGTTCTTGGTGGCACTAGCATTACAACCACCCCGTCCAAGTAGCCAAGGGACGGTGAATGGTCATTCATACCTGCTCCGAGCAAGCGCGACAGTTCGTGAATTGGGGATCTTCCTGGTTTAGAGGGCATTCATCAATATGGGAGGGGAATGTTGTATCGGGCTAGCACGGGTTTCTATTAATCTGGGCACGAAAGGGTTTCTTGAAAACTCGCATGGACGCCAGCATAAATATATATATATATATATAAAACAAAATGGAGTTTTATCCAACCGGGATGCCATGATTTGAGATTCCAATTGTGACTTTCCAAGCGAGTACACTCATGATGCGTGCGACAGCATGTCACCTTGGCCATACCGATCAATCTTTCTTGTGTTTTGCTCTGAGGTTGCACCACCAATATCCCCTTTGCGGCTACATTCCAGTTTGTTGCGATATATCTGCATTGGGTAAACCAAGCCACCCAGGAAGGTCCTTTGATTCCTTTGTTCGCGAATCACCGCGATTTGCCCAGAGATATGCTTGCTGGTCCTCAGCAGGGAATGAGGGCATGCACCCCATAAACCATCCCCTATGGCTTCCTTGAAAAGAATTCCCTTCCGGTTCATTCCCTTCCCTATCGCACCAGCAAGTAAATGGTTGTTACAGTTGGTCCTTTGGAGCCATGGGTACTTCCGCGCTACTCGTTGAACCAAAAGGCTCTGCATTGCCTCAGGCTTTGCTTTGGTTTCACTGATGGGAGCCTCGCTTTTCCCCGTCCCCATAGGGCGGTGTGCTGGGAAAATTTGGATAAAAGGGGAGCGGCTTATCGAGTTATTGTTTTTGCCTGCCTGTTTCACAGGCCCAAGAACATCTGAACGGGAATCAGCTGGTATGTGTTGTAGGTGAGGGACCGATGTGGCCGTGACGGTCGCCGCTTCAATTTTTACGGGGACGGGGCGAGATTGTGAGTTTCAGCCGCAAAGGCCGACTGAGACGGTAGAATCAGGAAGGCAGATGGATCAGGGAACGCTAACCAGGTTCTAACACACGGGTTCCTCCAGCTTACGCCAAAGACCAGTCATGTGTGTAGCATCCTAGAACCCGTTTGTTAGAACCCTTTAGGTTCACCCAGGGTTCGTTGTATTTGCATGTGTGCATGCGCAAGTATCGCAGCAGCATACCGGCGTGCAAAAGGACGGAGCAGAATTCGTGTCGAGCTTAGGGTGCTTCAGAGAAACACATCAACAACCTCATAATGTTCAGAATCAGTTGCAAGTTGCATGTGTTTGTTTGTTGGAGACCCCTTTGTTGGGCTTTTTGGGACTTTTGTGGATGGCCGAGTTTGAGGTCCCATTTGGCGACAAGCCTACAACGGTTATGCGCCCGCCCCTGTTCGTGCCACAAGACTATATGATGATATGTTTTAGTCATTATCTCTGTATTTCTGAATTGAGCAGCGCTCAGAAACACTATTGAAGCTATTTTGGTGAGTGGGCCTACTACCTGGTTTCAGGTGACGGGTTATGGGTTTCGGGCGCTGCTCAGTTGGTTTGGGTGGGGGGCCTTGTGTTTCTCCAAGATGCAACTTGTTTATCTTGAGCTTGTCAAAGCGTGTGCTGTTCGCTTGGGCCCTCAATCTACCCAATGGCAATGCGCAGCTCGCATGACCAAAGTTTGGTCAACTTGGGGCCTCGCCCCCTTACCCCCTTTTTCAGTGGCACCAGAAGAAGGTCCTAATGACGAGACCGATTGAGGCCTGATTTTGTGGAAACCTGAGGTAGGTTCACCGCCATAGTATGAGTGACTCCGTGCGAGTGCTCCTTTGAGCTTGCCTTGGAATTTGGACGCTTCCCCTCAAGCTTCACTCAAAGTTCCTACAAGGACCAAGGTGCTGCATCCGCCAATTGAACAGTCCTATTAGTTCCAGGTTACCCTTCAAACCTGGCTCTTGTCCGTAATGCCCAGTGGCGCTTTGTGCTTTGCACATCGACTTTTGATGTTACCGCACCTTCCAGCTCTGGTAGCGACGGCCTTGTGAGCCGCGCTTTGCATCTTTTGGCTCGATACACGAACATGGCACATGGCTGCACAGGAAAAAGAGCTTATGGAACAAGGGAGGGCAAAGCAAGTTCTCAGGCTCCAGCGTGACTCTTGCAGATGGGAGCAAGGTTCTAAAGGTGTGTTTGATAATTCACCCTGAGTCAATGACCCAACATGCCCCGACATGCAACGTTTTATCTGGACATGATCCAGCAGAGCAAATTGTCAGCCAGTGTAATTCCAGCATGTAATCAGTCACGCATGCTGCGAATTGAGATCATTTTTGCTCGCTTGTTCAAAACTCTTGCCCACTGTCAGGATTTTCCTTAAATTGCCAAGTTTTCAACAGGTGATCTTTGGCATTCCTAGGATCTTTGGTTGGCAGCTATGATCCAACACTTATTCGCGGCTGGGGACCCAGCCCCCTTGACGAGGGGCCCGGGAAGGCGATTTCAATTGGAATCATAGGGGCCCATAGGGGTCTGTCTTTTTTTTGAGGGCACCCTTTTTTGTACGTATGCATTTAAAAGGAAACCAAAAGGAGAGCCGCCTTTCTTTTTTTTCTTCTCGCGACGAACCCAAATGTTCAACGATTCCTTTGGGCTGCCCTTGGCAACTTCAAGTAAAAACATCGAGGCTCCGCACTTTGAAACAAATCCCCAGGTGTTGAATTTGACCCTTTGATTCACGGGAAACCCTCACCAACCATGTCTCGCAAGTTGGAAATTGCACAGGCAAACCACTGTTGGGAAACCAGGAAACCAGAAACATACAGGTTCACAACCCAACACGAACCTATCTCTTAGCCTACCCACCAAGTCCTGAACCCAGCCCTACAGCAATCCCCAAGCTTGTGACTTCTAATTGGGCAAATCCATCGATCCACTCGATGCCATTGCCAGAGCTGTGCTGCAAGCTGGAGACTCTCAGTCGAAGTCTCGTCTCCTGCATCGAATGCCCGATCTGTGCCATGGCGAGAGTTTCGAAGAAAGTTAGTTTGGGTCCCAATTTGGTGGGTTTAAAGAGTTGCTTTCTTCTAATGCCAATTTCAATGAGTTCAATTTCGGCATGTCAGGGAAATTCACTTTGAACGCTGTAGCTTTAAAAGTAATGCGGTCCACAAACCTTAGCTTCCCTCCAAGTCGGACAAGGGTAGCCGATACTTGAGAGCTAAGACACGCACGAGCTGGCCTGCTAGGACCTAGATCCTAAACCTACACCCTAAACCTGAACCGCTAAACCTAGATTCTAAACCTACACCCGAACCCTAAACCTCAACCCTAAACCAACACCCTAAACCTACACCCTAACCGAACCTAAACCCTAACTCTAAACGCTAAACCTTTAGCCTAAGGATTAGGGGGTGACGGCAACCCTCGGGGGCTGTGGGTAAGAATAGCATGCAGCATCACTATTTGCTTATCTCTTTGGGCGGGGTTTCTTCGGTTTGGAGGAGTGGCAGTTGGTTGCTTTCGCCGCAAAGAATAAATCAGGGTTGGGTGATGTCCCAGGCTGCAAACTGAAGGAGCACCGTGATAAGTATCAAGTCAAGTAAATCCTGCCTGTGGCACAGCATCAAATGTGTCCAGGCTGGGGAGGAAACAGCTTGCATCAACCGCATGTTTTTTAAACGGGGTTTTGTGGATTTTGCTGTTGGTTCAGTTACAATGTTTAGGAAGCTCACCGTAGAATTCACGCCGAGGTGATGTGCTGATTGCCTTGGCTTGGGTTACTGATAATTCAACAAATCTACTCCAGGAATTTATACAGGACAATTGCCAACAACATTGCAAGACCCACAGGATGTTGACTTCCATTTGCTATAATAAATATTCGCTTTTCCCCCGGTCAGTTTTAAGCGGAATCTATCACCACGGACGATTGTTGTTACTCACGTGGACCTAAGCAAATGGATGTTGACCAACTTCTAGTTGTTTTAGGGGCTTCTCAGATGAGGCACGGATCGCTTTTGGGCTTCAAGTTTCGGTGAGGCATGGAGGTGATGACGGAAGCGGCCAGTGGATACTGCCGCTTGGCGGTCCCTCAGGCCATCCCTTGCGCTCCCGGCCCCCCATTCGGGGGGAAGACAGAAACTTGTTTCTGTGTTCAACAGATGTCATGGGGGCTGGGGGGGAGAGGGGGGAGGGAGCCCACATAAGACCTTATTAAGCCCTTAATAAGGCCTCATTTAGGCTTATTTGGGCTCCCTCGCCCCCCCCCCCCTCCCTCCCCCATGAGGATGCGCATCCTCAGTCATCGGTACCCTCTGGTCGAACATGGAACCCACCAGACGCTCCCTTTTAAAGGAACACTGTGTTCTAGGACCCCCTCTGACGTTCCATGTTCGTGGATGGGAGTGTATTGCGCCGAAGGGTTGCCATATGCCATAGATACTGGCACCACAAGCGATAGATATTGGCACCACAAGCAACGGCAAAAACGTGAAAGTGGTGTGGGTTGGGACCAGGGGCTCTAGGAGACCGTGAAGCAAGTAATGTGTCAAATCGACCCAAGTACCGGTCACCGGTCCATTCCAGGTTCAATGCTTCCCCATTGAATAAACAGGTGACACGTCTCCTGAACATTTTTGCGAAGCCGGGAACTTGCGGGCCAAGTCTGCATGTTCCTTTTCCGAGTCGGAGCTATTGTTCGCCATGGAAGTTCCTTCATTGGTCCCTGCTGACCGCTTGTATTTGCCTTCCACTTGCTTAAGCCGTTGTTCATATGTAGAGATATATAGATATATATGCAGATATCGATTCCGCTGTTGGCTTAAAAGGTAGTCTATTGCTACTGGAGTATGATTATTCGACCCAGGGACTTCAACAACTGGAAGCTTGTATTCACTTATAGATATCTATGTCTCCACTCGCGTTTGAGCATTCCACAGAAGCCCTCACTTGCTCTAAGCCGACATTTGAAGTTGTCCTTATGTTATTATGTTCTAGCAAGGGGCCAAAACGTGCAGAGCTCTTCCCATTTGTTCATTGACATGTTTTGTTGTAAGGTTGTCAGCGTACTAGGGTTGCATGCCTTGCTTTGCAGACTGATAATGCTGGCTTATCATCAGGTGTCAAGAAATGCAAACACAGATTTCCAGGTCAATTGCAGTTGTCTCCGGACATGTGTTTGAGGACACCGCTTTTTGGGGCGTTTGTTTTTGTAGGGGTCAACCCCTAGATTAGGCCCGGTAGGCATGCTCTTTAAATATCTGGAAAGACATGGACCTCTTACCTGGAGTTTCCTGTCAACCCCTTGACACCTTCCCACGTCAACGCCCTAAAAGTGAGCTTTGGTCCCGCTGGTTTGCCTTTCAGTCTTTACCTTTACCTGAGCTTCTCCTGTAAATCACCCCTTCGCTTCCGAAATCCCAGGGCTCTCGCTCGCAATCTCCGGACGGATGAGGCGGGCACTGCTTCTGCATTGGCTGCTTCGGGTGCTCCCTGAGCTCCTCCTTTAGCTGCCCCACCTGCCGAAAGTCGAGACCTCGGTGCATTTTCAGCGTTCGCTGGGCTTGCGATCGGTTCGATAGATGCAGGGAATGAGAAATGGAATGACCCCAATACGAACAATCCAGCGGGTGTTTTCCTTCAAGGGGACCACTGGGTTGCTGTGTTTGTTCCTTTGCCTCACTGTTGCGAAGCTGTTTGTTGACAGTGATCATCCCCTGCGTGAATCTGCCGGGTTTGTTGTAAGGTATCCTTGCCCTGCCATTTGACCTTGCCATTGTGTGATTGACATATTCGGCTTCCCTCTTGGTGACCTGGAGCCCGTTGGTTTGGAGGTGTTCCAGGGGCTATTTCCCATTCACTGTTTCAGCACTGTTTGCAAGAGCTAGGGGTTTCGGGGAAACAGGGAAACCCAACGGGAAGTCGCATACGCATGTGGTTTCAGGTTGCCAGTTTGAAAGTTTGTGTGATACCATCAGCAACCCCCTTTTGAAGTGGTAAGGTTCCTAAGGAAAAAAGCAAAAACAAACTCGGGGTTGGGGCTGCTCAGGCAATCTCCCAGTAAGTACGGCTTTACTGCTTACTAGTGGTTGAGAACTGGTTTAATATTCCTTGGAGCTGGCCTAGTGCTTGTAGATGTGTTTGGTATTGGTTTAGTACTTCTGTGAATGGTCCCAAAGAGATATCACATACATAAAGACATATAAACACATATATATATATAGGTGTGTTATGTATATATCTATATATTTACTTGCGCGTTTCTCTAATCCCTATCCTTGAACATACACCATTATGCCGCGTTCCAGGGCTTCCCCTAGTTCGAGAACAAATGTGAGGTTCGATCAACATATCCTGATTTGTCCATGGTCCAGTTGGGCACTTGTTTTTGTTTTTTTCATATTTTGTTGCGGAAGAAAGCAATTGCGGGGTCCCCTCCCTTCAGCATTTGAAGGGACATCTAAAGAGACCAGCCATGCAAATTGGTTTCAAGCCCAAATGCATATATGGATATGCATTTCTTTGGAGGCCCTTTGGTGGACATCATGTAGGTTGGCATTTATGCCCACCAGCAATTTGGGAAGGTATGCCTAATTCAGCAGGGTCAAGACACGCCTTGGCCATCAATCCGGGATGTTTGACCAGCATGGGTCTGGTTAACCACCCCAATGCCTATTCCCACATAACACGTCATTTTTTTGGTATTTTGCCTAGGGTGTAGGACAGTCCCAGAGAGATAAATCCGAGGGTGTCATCCCAGGGTGAGGACCCTTCACCATGAAGAGTCCGATGGGAACCATTTCCACCAGACGAAAGGGGAGGCCACCTTTGTTGCCATTTTTTTTTGTTTTTTTTGGCGGGGGGAGAAAATGTTCCGGCAGAGGATGTCATGAACCCGCCGCACGCCTCTGGAGCCCTTCGTGAAAAAGAGAACTCGGAGCCGGAATCCAGCAACCGCTTCATGGACCCCTCCAGAACCCTACGCCCAGGGGCGATGGATTCGATACGTGTCGCAAGCAGTGATATATAGTAATCAATCCCAGTTTATCCAAAGGGGGGTGTGTCTGGGTTTAGCGGGGAATCATCACTTTGGAGGGGAGCACTCCCTATTTAACAGGGCTCCTTAAAATATACATTTTGCCCATTTGAAATGGCTTTCTCCACCAAAATAAAGGGACACCATTTACAAGGGAATGTTCAGGTGTGTAATGTAAGGATCCCTGTTTAGTCAACCGGGGTTGATTAGTACGGGGTCAACACGACTTCAGAGCTCTCCAGCTGCTCGCTCCGGGCCGAGACCCACTGCAACCGTCACTCGCGCGCGAGCCCCGTGCGAGGCCCGTGGTGGACCTCGTGCGCCAGTGCCTTGCACGCGGAATGGGCGGGGTTTTGGGGCGCAGGAGGCGCAAGCCTCAGAGGTTGTTTTGCGTTTTGCAGATGCCGGTGGTTTTGGGGATCCGTTTTTGCGGGGGGTCCTCTGTTGATTTGTTCATGGGGCGGGCAGGGAAAGTGGAGGTGCATCGATTTTTGGGGGATCCCTGTTTTCTGAGGGGGGTGACCTTTGGGTTTTGAGACATACCTTCGATTTGATTGAGATTTCAAGGAATCGTTTGCCGGCTTGCCCGAATGACTTCTGAGCATTGCGCGTTTTGCCTTGGACCTACCTTCGGCATTGAATTCTCGATATCCTGGGCAGCGTTGCGCCCGGAAAAACCCGCAATTTTATCACTGCTGGAAGGAGGTGCTTTGTTGGGAAGTCTGCATTCCATGGGAAGGACTGCGGCTAAAAGACCTCAAATTTCCCCATTGCGATCCGACTGCGGTCGGCGACCCTGAGCCTTTGCCCCGAGCCTCGCTGAGAAAGGTTCACAGTGGAGCAAATTGCCGCACACATCCCGCTCCTGAAGGAGGGGTTGGCTTCAGCACCCGCGTGGTTCTGTTGTTGTAGGACAGCTGTCAAATGAAATCAACTGAGCAGTAACACGGATCCATTTTGCACTTTGTGTTTGGAGGTTCTCCTTACTAGTCAATCGGGGGCACTGTCTTTTCTCCATTGAGACCCACCGGGACGAGCGAAGGAGCAGGAAATTGATTCATGTTACCGTAACCTGCGTTTGCAACTGAGCAACTTGTTCAACATGTCTTGTGAGGCTTTCCATTGAAGTCAACAAACACTAAAAGGCAGCTCTGGAAGGTCCAAGTATTAATCAAATGCCCTGGAAGGCCAAACAATCAACCTGAAAATCAACGACCCAAAGGCCGTGCCCTTTCGTCTTGCATGTGCTCAGTAGGGAATGTGGGAATCAACCGCTTGGCTTTGATCCCCTGCAAAAAAACCACCAGTTGGATGGTTTATACTCGGGTCAGTTCATGTCTCAGGGCCCCTGCTTCTCTCGCACCGATCGCAAGAGTAGGTCCCCTTAAAATTATCACCATCCCAGAAAACAACTCACCCCTGGGCCAACAAGGGTTTTCTAAAGATTCGCTTTGTCATTCCATCCAACTCTAGGTTCCCCCCAGTAGTGAGTGCCCTTTTACTCTTTTTTGGGGGAGGGTTCCCCTACCAAACTAGACTACAGAAAAAAGTCGGTACCCTTAAACTAACCTCTCTACTGGAGGACCTAGAACTCATGTCCTGCACCGATCGCAAGTTGTCCCCATGGGCCTGCCCCTTTTCCCCACAGGACTTGGCCTTGCAGCTGGGGGTCTTCTCGGCGCAGAGCCAGCTGGAGCTTGATGCGAGCAGGTCGGGTCGGATATAATAAGATAGTTATATCACGTATATAGTTATGGATATTGTTTATAGTTATACATATGTATATATATATATATAATTATATATATATATGTGCATTTGCAAGTATGTACATGTAGAAGTATGTGCATATATATATATATATATATTTGTAATATGTACGGGTCAAGGGTACTATACATACTATATGGATGTGTAGAAAGGGGTTTGCAGGTCCAAAGTCAAAGTGTCCTTTTTGATTCTGCCAAGGAACTCCAATTTTGAAAGGCTACCCCATGTGTGTGACCTTATCACCATTGTTTGTTCCTTACCCACGTGTTTTGTAACTTGTTTTTGACAGGCCATTCGATTTTATGGGGTCTTTTTTGTGTGGGAGGGGGGGGGGGGGTTGGCGAGTTGTTGGAACTAGGTTCCAAGTATCTGTGGAATTCATTGGCCTCTTGCCCTAATGCGGCTGGGGTTGGGGTAGAGGGAGAGAGAGATAGAGAGAGAAGAAAGAAAGAACAGACATGACTTGACATGAAATGACATGAAATAAAAATGACAGAACATAAAGTTGAACTGAAGAAGGGGGGGTTGGTTAAAATAATTGGCCCGAAGTCTTGAAACAGAGCCGCAGGCGCCTGGGGGCATTAGAGCAGGAGCTCCAGAAAGAACGGCAGCGCAGCTTGTCTCGGGAGCTCTTTTCTCGGGGGTTGGCCGGCCTTGTTTCTACCGTTTTCAGGGGCCGGGCCAGGGCCCGACGAAGGCGCCTTTTGTCTTGCTGGTGCGATAGGTATGGAATGACTTTCCGAGTTCGGGTGTTGGTTGAATGAACCGGTTTTGGGGATTCCCGAAGAAAGGAAACCAACAGTTGGATTGTTTATAGTGGTCATTTGTTATTATTGCCTGCTGAAAACCAGCAAGTGAAAGACGGGCTCCCCATACTGAAAAGGTGCCTTCTTCCGAGTTCCACGGCGTGGGTGGGAGGCTTGGCTGGATTTCTTTTGGGGATCGACCAAAGTAACGAACATCTTCAGGTACACTTGCAAAGACAGACACGCACCGCCGCCCCTTTTGGTAAGCCCCCAAAAGCCACAAGCCCGCGTACTCGTTCGGGAATCTTGAAGAGAGCCCGGGGGGTCTGGGGGTATGCCCACATGTCACCAATGGTCCGTACAGAACGACCTCCTCCATTAGTCACACTGATGGCAATTACAAACCTGGCAAAGCCACGCCACCATAGATTACAGCCCCCCCCATCTTGGTCCACCTCCCCCTCTCTGTTGGCTGAAAAGCAAGGAGGGGCGGTTCGAGGGCGGCGGGGTATGTACTTGATGGCGCCATGATTTGAGTGTTTAACACGCAGTTAGGCTTTTTCTCAGTGTTGTTCCCCAACTAGTGTTTACACTAAGGGGTCCATACGGGAAGAGTTAAGGCTGACTTTGGACTGTTGGCCACCACTCCAGAGGTCTTGGAGAGAGCCATGCAAGGGGCTCAGTAGTGGGGTCCTGCCTTGCCTCTCTCACTTGAGTTGATGGTCGCATTTGCGCTCGGATTCCCCTGTTCAGTTGAAGAGAGAGTAGCAGGGCGGCTGGTGTTGCCTTCGGAATCCGGAGGAACCTGCTAGTTCCTCCAAAGAGAGTTTCCACAAACAGGGACGGTCCTCCTTTTGAGTAATCCGAAGTTGACATAGCCCCTGAATCCCAACAGGGGTTATTAGCGACCAAGACTCAGTTGTTCAAAGCGAATCGACCTTTTGAGCTTTTGGTTTTCCCATGTTGGTCCATATTTCGTCATGGCCCCAAGAGGTGATCGCCTTTTAGTTGCAGGTCCCTAAGGGGCAACTGAGAAGAAGGTCTTTTCTGGCTCTCTTGGATTCTTTTCTGGGCCCTTTCTGGGGGTCCATAGCCATGGGCCAGTTTGATGCAACATGCCCAGGCCAGCCCCTGGGCTTGGGGAAGATCTCGTCAGGGGAGGTTACCTCCCCCAACCTGGAATTGGCGAAGGGGGGGGATGAAACGGCCCCTGAAGATCTCTGGCTCCGCAAAATGGAATTGGAAGATCTCCACCTCCTTGAGCGGTCTATGGTTCATGGGGGCCGGGAATGGGTGGCTCACTCAATTTCACCACAAGAACCAGAGGACGCGCTCACTGACCAATGTCCTTTCCGGGGAAGAAGTAATTTTGACCATGGCTCTTGTGAGATGAACCAAGTAGGAAAGAGATCGCTCGCAACGCCCCAGTGCAGCGCATTGGCGAGCACAGGCTCCCACACTAGCTCACCCATGATGAAGGTTCTTTGGAGGGCTCGGAAAAATTCAGGGAGCCCCACCAAGGCAGTCGTCATTGGGAATTGCAGTTTCGCTCGTTCTTGTGCGGCACACTTATCAGAACTAAATCCACGGAAGGTCAGTGCTTTGCGTACATCAACTAAACCTTCCATTTTCTGAAATGAACATATTTAATTTTCCCCCGTTAGTTTCAACGACCTAGAATATGTTGTTTTTTTGACTCGGTCCAAAAACCTCGGTGTTCACAATTGCTTTCTGCTTCAGGCGCCAAGTATCTGGAGCAGCGGCTGCTGGTGCAGGACGCTCACGTTCTCACCAGCGACTTGCCGGGTGTGTCTTTTTGAGCTGGTACCCTGTTACTTGTTTTGATTGTATGTGCATTTCTACGTATATGCATTGCACATATATATATATATATACATATTTGTATGTGTATGCATGTATAGATGTATTTGGTCTCTGTATCATACATCTACATATGTATATTATATATATGTGTGTGTATGCATGTATGCGATGTTGTATATGAATATGTATTTGTTTATGTGTATTTGTGTCAACGCATGTGGTTTTCCCCATGAGGCACGCCTGGTTCTCGACGCGGGTATTGGTTTGCGACCTCAGGCCCCATGATGACCGTTGCCTTTGTGTTTGTGTATGTGTGTGCGGTATAGTGTGGTTGTGTGTTATCATCATTTGACTAGATTTGGGGTTCATGTTCTCTTTCTTTGCTGAGTGCTAGAGAAATTTGTTTTGTTTGTTGTTTCACCCTTGCTTCCATTGACTGGAGGAGAGGGTTCGACCTCCATGGCTCCCTAGAGGGCGGCTTTTTTGTTGTGAGGGGTAAACCGGCATGTTTGTTTCCTTTACAACGACAGCCATTTGTTTGTTGTCACATCCTTTGATCCAAAAGGAAGTTGTTTAAACACTAGTTGTGGCGCAGGGCATGCAAGAAACACCGAGGAGCAGCCTTCCAATCCGCAACAAGCGCATGATGCTGGTTGGGCCCCCTTTTAAAGTCAAGGTGAAACGAGGGTTGCCGTTTTGTTCCAGCATGCTTAAACGGGTGGATAGCCAGACGTGGCAGAAATGAGGTGCTCGAAACTTTTTGTTTGCTTCTGGGATATGATGGGGATGGGGATCCCCTTTGAGCGATAGTGGCTGGAACATGCTGGAACATGTTTCATTAGCTTAACTCGGCCAAAGCCGCCGTTTGTCCATGTTGGTTGAAGGCTCAAACAGTACCCTGTCATGTCTGCATCATTTCGACAAGTGAGGTAGCGGTTTGAACATGCTTATATACAGCAAACAAGACTCAATACAAACAACAATGTGTCCCCAGGCTACGTGCCGCAAGTATAGGCCCTTGACATGCCGCATATACGGTTTTCTGAGTTACAAGGGGTATATAGAAGGGACCAAGGATTTTGTTCCCCCCCCCCACCCCCCAACGACCCAAACGTGTATATAGATGTATTCTTGGCATAATACCCGACACAAGAAGACAGGCTTCGGCAAAAACAATGCTCCAAATAGTTGCACGGACGGGGTCCGCATTATTGCCTTAGTCCTGTCAGGCCCTCTGTTGGGTTCGAGTTTTAGCTGATTTCATCGCACCCTCTTGGAGGGACTCCCCAAACACACCACCTCCCAAAAGCACCTTGAAGTAGTTGTCAACCGCCAAGAATGATTTCCAGGGTCATTGGGCGACTGGGGCAGTTCTTCTGACTTCCCCTTAGTCGAAGATATGGATTGGTGGTTTGGGGATTTGAACCCCTGGTTCCTTGCTGAGGGTACGCGGGGTTGCACGTCCTAACCCTCCAAAGCATCAATCCAAATCGTCCATCCAAAGCAAGTGGGGGGATGCTGAGTGAATCATGGGCAACAAAAGAGAGCACATGGACCTCCAATTCTGGCACACCCCAGTTGGGTATGGGTCAAAATTAAACCACCAGGGGACCGCAGGTTTTGGTCCATGTTTCCACTTACCAGGGTTCCATTTGGGGTACCGATTTTGACCTACAGCCATTTGGGGACTTCTCCGAAATTGCGAATCTGTATCTATCGGTTTGGGTGAACTGATTGCTCGCTTCAGCCTGGGGTTAGGAGCGGAAGCTCCAAGAGCAGATCCAGCAGTGCCAGGCTGAGTTGTTTTATGTGTTTCTTTCTATTGTTTGGAGGGGTGGCACTGTTCCGTTTAATTTCCTTGTTTACGCTCAGCTTTCCAAGGTCATTGAAGGCTTTGGGTCCAACTTATTTTACCATGATCAAAGTCAACCCCTAAGTGGAGGGGTTGGGTTGTCATGTTTGGTTCAGTTGATACCCTTCATCCCAGCATCCCTTGAGGAAATTGACCTTCTAGGTACCATCCCACAAATGCTATGTTAGTAGAAGGAAGGGAAAGGCTGATCTTGGCGAGTTTGAGGTTTGGATTGCTCAAAATGATGAACATGTGTTTAGAAATTGATGCGGGTTCCCTTGTTACAGTGGCCATTTTCTTATCTACCAAGCATCCGCGCACAACCGGAGATCTGCCTGGGTTGTTCAACGTGGTGTAACCTTGTTGTATTGGCCAGATTGGATCTTCCCCGTCTTGTTTAACAACCCAGCATTCATTTGACTCGTTGAAATCAATCCCCCTCTCTGCCAATATCAAGGAAACTGGCTGAAGGCCCGCGAGAAACGAGTTTCCTGGTTTCCTTTTAAAGGAGCCTTGTGGCTTTCATGCTAGTGATTTTTAGGGTAGTTGACATATGATGTGTCAAAATCGGGGGGACCCCAAAAACCGTTGGGTGTCCTGCTGGTTTCCAACTAAATCAAGGTGAAATTGCATTTCGTGGTGCTGCACAATGTGCCGCTAAGGGCATACCAAAAAAAGGACCCCACGTAGCCTCAGCTGTTTCCTCCACGGTGCGGCTCAAAATTGTGAGCCCCTTTTTGGACGATTGCCAACTAATCCTTACACCCCGTTCCCCCAGGGTTTTCTCCATTTTTCCTGTTGGAACCTTCAAAAGTGGCGATCGTTGCAATGGACACCAAGTAAATTGATCAGATTGTGAAGGGGAAATCCAGTGGCACCTGTCATCGATTGTGTTCACTTTCCGGGTATATCTCCCAAAAGGTCTGGGCACTTGGGGGGAGCCTCTTCTTTTGGCGCCAGGACCTGCAAAGAGCCTGGGAGCTCGAATCGCAACTCGGGCGAAGGTTCAGAAGCGCATTCCCCGAGCCTCCAAAACGATGTTATATGTGTTGGGTAAAGATGAACCAGACGCCAAACACGGGTTTGTCTTATTTTGAGGGTACCCTGTTTTGGTTTCAAAGGAATGGAACCACGAGGGGCTCCCTTATTGTAAGACACACCCATACTGTGGATGGACGAAATCCTGCACCACCTAAGACTCCCTGGAATGATGATTCCCCTGTAAATACCAACAAACCAATGGTTTCCCATGGTTCAAAGTGGTGCAGGATATTGTCCATCCACAGTATGGATCGGAATCTGAAAATCTATGGTGTTGTGTACAGGTCAGGGTCAAATCAAACGCCCAAGGATCCCAACTTGTCAGAAGGCAAAAAATGGCCAGTGTGGTTGCAAGAATGAGAAACCAACCCCTAGGGAACCCGATGGCTCTTTCCCGAGAACCCTTCAACATACCTTTTCATGAAGATCCCCTTCGTAGACGGCTAGGGGAGGATTCTTCGATGTTTGATCCCTTTCACCTGGGGTTGCAATCAAGTGAGTTGCCGACTTTCAACCTTGCCTGCTTGACCTGAGTTGACTTGTTTGGATCAATTGCCCACTAACACGTCTAGCAACACGTCTCGACTAATTGGTTGCCTGACTTGCGCCTTAACGGCCAGTCCCGACGTGTCCCCCATTCAGCGGCACCCCTTTCCCTTTCTAGAATGGGTTCTCCACGAAATTGTCAACAGGTGTCCCTTTCGATGATTTTTATGTCGCTTTGATTGCCATACGCCCCGCCCCTGAGTTTTGTGACAGCACGGAGAACGCCCCCAAAAGGCTGCCCAGACTTGACGTCAACCGCTCCAGAAAGCCAAAATGAGTTCCCTTGTTTCACACCTTCCTCGCGAAGGTCAAATCGCTTTCTGTCAACACTGGGAGCACACTCGCGCACACTGGCAGAGGAAGGCAAACCAGCAAGGGAAGGGGGGTCACGAGGACACAAGAGGTTTCCAAAGAGGCAGGCCACCAAGCTTCCCTATACCCTCGTTCGCCAAAGAGAACCACAAAGTCGCAGGCTTTTGAGAGACCCCTCTACTTCAGACCCTCCAAAAGCTCATTGGGTTGAATGAGATCGACTGGTTCTCACTCCATCCTGTCAGCCTGTTCTCGGATGTTTTATCGCCAGGCAGGAGGCGATGCGGCAGCATCTCGGCCGAGTCAGTCAGCTCAAAGTCATCAGGGCTGCTCAGAAGCCTCAACTCTTGGCCTGGACATTGGGTTGGCCAAGGGGCCAATTCTGAAAGTCACCTGAAATTCAGAGCTGAAGAGCCCACCTACCTCAATATATTATTAGTTAGCTATCTGCGAAGCCTGGGTCCTTCGTGTTCCGCCGTTGGCAGGCGCCAATGGACATAGAGTCCCACAACCCTCTCCCTGAGTTGCCCAAATGGGACCGCGGCCAGGTTTGGGCTGAAAGAATGGGGGAAGGAGCTGGGACCGAGGCGTCCATTTTGGGCGGCAGGGTCGCAAGCAAAATGGCCAGTTCCCTTTAAACAGAAAACAATGGCTACACATGCACGCATTCGCGAAATGCCTGACCCCGCCACAGCCCTGAAGACTAAAACTGACACACATCTCCACGCAATATTCATGTATTGACATCCTTTTGACCCTTTTCTCGGACATATAGAGGGAGCCCTCGAGCCCTTGCCTGCACTTTTTGGGAAACTGCCCCGCCTAGGAATCAAGAGCTGCAGGAAGAGGTCTCGTTTCTGCGGGAGAGCAACGAGAAGACGCAGGAGGGGCAGAGGGGTGTTGCGACGGCGCTTTTTGACCAGGGTTGGGCCAAGGTTGTTAGAGAGAGCTAGACCCTGGAAAGCGTTAAAGAGGACCCAGGAGGTTGTGTAAAAAAGCTGCTTCCTTGGAATCAGGCCAGTTGCCCAGTTGTTTTCCCGAACCCGAGTGGGTCCAAGTACTCCGTATATTTCTGTATTCATGGTGTTGAGCGCGGTTACAGGCAGATTCGGATAGGTTCGGAAGGGGGTTAGCCTGTCCCAATGAATTGAATACGGATGAGCTACAGTCAACACCTAGATGAAGGCACGGGATAGTTCCAAGCATAAATAGGCGCAGACACCCTACTTAGGTTGTGGGTAGACGCCGTTTAATACAAAGGTGTGTGTGTTGGTTATGAGTAAAGTACGGCTGCCTTGAGGCTCTCTAAGATTGCGTCTTTCGGGAACGCGCCAACTTCGATCCCTGTCATTTATGTCATTTGTGTCATTTATGTCATTTGTGTCATTTATGTCATGAATGGTTCGAGCAATTCTGGAGAGGGTCATCAACCTGGGGAGGGGTTTGGGGAGTTGACATTTCCAACCCCTGGACTCGGCAGGAGGCCCTTCGCTGTGCCAAGCTTCTGGAGAACGCCATTGTGAACATCATGGACGAAAACGATCGAGCGGTCGCATCCCCACCGGGTCCAAATGTTGATTACTTAAAGGGGCATTGGACTTGGTAAGTGGTTAGCAAGCCTGGTTATAAGCCACCTACAATGGTTATAAGTCTCCCAAGTGGGTGATAATCGGGCTTACTAGCCACTTACGAAGTACCCTGCCCCTTGAAGTAGGGGAGAACTGAGAACAATGGCTTTGGAGATGTAAGAATGATTATATATATATATATGTATATTGATTATGTAGTTTCATGTTTGATTGAGAAAAATGCCTGGGGCCGTGGGTTTGTCTTTCGAAACCAGACCTCCAGTGGTTGTTTATTTATCTATGTTGTTCTTTCTTTCTTTCTTGTGTCTTTTGTATAGTGTAAATATATATATATATATTACGATTCTTGCTTAATGCATGTTCTGCCTTTGTTTCTTTCATTGTTTGTTCTGCTCTTACTTATTTATTGACGTATTTGTTTACCTATTTGTCTTCTTTCTGTAGTGGGTTCTTTGTGTCGTTCTTTCTTTATTTATTTCTTTCTTTCTTTTTTGTTTTATGTCTTTCTTCGTCAATTCGTTATGTTTGTTCTTCCCTATCTCTCTCTCTCTCTCTCTTTCTTTCTGGTTTTTATGTGTTGTTTCTTTGTGTCCGGCATTGCTTGGCAAGTTGCTTGCCGCATCTGCCATCCTCGTTGTAAGGTTAGCTTCTGGTCGTTGTAAGTGATGGCTTGGCAACCAGACGACTGTTGGAGAGAGTCTATTTATTCATGCCCACACCCTCCTCCCCCGCCCCTCCCCCCAAAATAGTGTCCAGGGGATATATCCATTGAGGGCGGCCCCGTTTATACACTTCGTACGGTTTCACTCGGTGAAGGAAGGGCAACACATGCATGCGGGTCTCGTGATGTCCAGTTCAGGTGTTTGGGTGTGCCGTCAAAGGGAAAACCTGCACAGCGCCAGCACTTCAGGAGCACATGCACAGCATGATGAGGCTCGTGATTGGATCTGGCTGGCAGGACAGGGTGGGCTTTGACCAAATCTCGGCAACTCTTGCAGCAATCGACCTCACACACGTTACGATATCTCCTGAAATGATGTTTGCATGCTAAGGTGCAGTATGAATGAACAACAATAACATGTGTTTGTTGGTTTCCAGGTTGTCTATATTTGGCCAAGATTAAAACATATCTTTTTGAGTCGGGGGCAAAGCAGCAGGAGAGAGTTTGGCGTCCAACCCATGTCTTGCGCGAAGGTGCCTTGGGGATTCTTTGGGTCGTGTGGCCATTTTGCTTATGGCCTTCGCCTCGAGCAGGGCCGCTCTCACTCCGCGAGTTCCGGTGCTTGTTGACGCGGAAGATTATATGACAATGAGCCAAAATCAATACCCAGGAAAGTGAAGGTTAGGGAGGGGAAGTCCCAGCCAGAATTAGTTGTTGCCACCTTGGTAGTTCTTTACATTGGTTTGGGGACACCATTTTGATACGTACCAGGTTTTGATTGTGACTCATATAGTGGCAGACAGGCAGCAGTTTAAGTTTAATTTGGATTTTTGGTTGCCAATCCTCCAAGATGTTTTCCCTCGGATTACCCACTGAACCTTGCTGCCGGTGATCAACGGTTTGTTCTAGGGGTGGCTTCCCAGTCTTTCCGGGGATCCTTCTTTCTAGAAAATCACCAACAACCCCTGGAAAAAACAGCTGGTTTTTTGAACAGAGCGATGGTTAAAAAGAATGGGGAATCAACCCTTAGATGTAAAGGAGGTTGACCCACGCGTTTTGGCTGCATCACTTTGCTTTCCAGCTAGCTCTGAGAGACTCAGAGACCCCATGAAGAAAGCCAAACAGATGGGGCCTGACCACCTGGGTATGTCTCATCGGGGTCTTGACCCCATGGTTATGCTTTTGGTTTCACTTGAATCATTGAAGCCCCGAGTTCGGGGTACCTCCAAAGACACCCTTGCCACCGAACCCAGGTGCTTGAGGGAAAGACTCTTCGTGGCCTCCTTTCACCCAAGCCATGTGAAAACTGTGAGCTCAACCCCATTTTTGGTCAAGGCCCCGTATTAGGCAAAAGGCTAAAACTCCCAAAAAGCCCAATGCTGGTTTCCAGCCGCTTGATCAATAAGAGAGTCACAGCTTGGGGCTGGCGCACAAGCGGCGCACAGGAGCTGTGCGTTCCCTTGCAGGAAGCGCAGGTGCAGGAGTTGCTGGGAGTCTCGGCTGTCGCGGTCAAGTTTTGAGCAGATCCCACCCCCAATGGAAACTTTCCCATGGGAAACCAACAGCTGATGGGTATGTCTTATTTTCCAGGCCCTGTTCAACATGATTGAAGGATGTGAAGGATGTCTAAGCAAGAGGGAGGACCCCATTTGCCCGCAGAGGTTCTCGAAAACGCCTTACAATCGGTCTAAGAGCGTTGAGCCACGCCTGGCTGTGGAGACGTCAAGAACAGCTCGACGAAGAATCATTTGTTTGGCCTTTATTTCGCGGGTGGACCTCACGGCAATCCTTACGGCAATCCTTACGCAAGGGGTCCACTTTTAATGGCTGCCCTTGGATCAGGATTGGAACAGACCAGTTGAGCCACAATCAAAACCCGGGTAGATGAAGGTTAGTACGGGCCAATCCCAGCCATAAATAGCTGTGGATATCCGCCTTCTGAATTCTTTACGTTCTGGGTTCACCATTTTAGTACCGGGTTTTGATGACCCAGTCAACCTTTCTCGGCAGCTGGCTTTCATCATGACTCAGTTAACCTTTCTCGGCGGGCTAGCTTAGCCCAGGCAGTTAGACCAGTAAACTCAGCAGCGCACAGCCCAAGGACTGAGCCCCAGCTCCGCCTTTGCGGAGTTTGGCATCATACGCGACTGCCTGCATGCGGGACAGGAGTGCATGGGCCACTCGGCCAGACTGAAGGTGCCTCAAAGGGGCTGCCTTGTGGTTGATTCAGTCTGAATGAAATTTGGGTTTTGTTAGGGTCCCCTTAGTCAGGTTACCCTCAACCTAGTTGGTGGTTTGGATTGGTGGCTTGGATTCGGATTTGAACCCCAGTACCCTTTGATGCCAAATGGGGAAGCTACCCCAACTCCAAACCAGCAATGCAAATCCAAACCACTGTAGGGGGAAGCTGTCTTCGGATTGGTTTAAAGGGAGGCCGGGACGCCAAAAAGATTTCTTTGAACAATCGCTCCTACCGGCCCTGTTGTCAGCTTTTGGAATAGGGAAGTTACCAACAGAATCTCCTCACCCTGGACTTTAAGCTTTTCGGGAAGACCATGTTTGTGATAAACAAACAGTTTGGATTTTTTTGGCCTGTCCACTTAGGAAGTGAGTCTGAGTGCTGTGCGGCAAAATCGTAGATGGGAGTTTGCAGCAGTCGAAACCCAGCTGATCCTTTGTTTAAAGCAGCATGACGTTGAAGAGTCCGACGTGTTTTTTTTTTTCTCTGAGTGCTAAATACCCCATATTGTTTGATATACGCAGCGGGAAACCAAAAGGGTTTGGTGTTTGTTTGTCCTGAGCCCCTACTTAGCACCCAGCCTCGGGACTGCCATGGTCAGCTCGGAAGTGACCGTAGGCAACATGTCCTTGGGCATCTCTTCGGATTGGCGGTTTAAGCTGGAATACTACGGCTCCAGCCAGCACGTTTTCAACGAGCTGGAGATGGAAGGCGGGCCCTTCAGCCCCACAAGTGAGAGGTCGAGGAAACATGGGGTTCAGGGAACCGCCTCCCCAGGTTGCTTTCCAGTTCGTTTCTTAAAAATTCCAGTTCTGTGGCACCGTTTCACTATTTGGTGTGGCTTCCCCACGAAAATTGTTCCCAAAATGGGTTTCCTTGATCGGTGGCTCCCCATCCAAAAAGGGCTCCCTTTTTTACCAGGGTCGCCAAACAACTGGCCATTTGAACCTGCTTTGGCCCCGTCAGGAAGCGAGACCCGGATTCGGAGGAATCCTGATATGGCCACATGCCCGCTTTGCATCAGCCGATGCTCTTAAGATGGCTTCCATGATCCCAAGCCACTATCCAGCAAACATGCTGGAGTTGTGCTTGACCATTCCGAAAGGTAGCATCGGAGACGGTCACACCCAGAATGCATTTGTTCTGGACCTCGAGTAGGAGAGCATCATTTGGAGGCCCATAAAAGGGTCGAATTTCACTTCAAACAAGTTACCCACCAACAAGCATGGAACCTGACCTTCGGGGGGTCCTGGTTTGAACCATGTTCCTTGTAAAGGGACCGGGTCCCGAAGGTCAGGTTCCATGTTTACAATTGGTGGGAGGGTAGCGTGAACACAGAATTCAGAAACTGGAATTCGAGGGCAGAGGCTTGAGACAAACTGTTTTGGACGGTTTACCTCGTTTTGAGACGACCAAAGTCCACCCAACCCACCCCATCCACCCAGCAGCACCCTCCAATCCACCGCAACTCCCTCTTCAACACACCTTAAGCCTCTTGGTTGGAGAGCTAAGGAGCTGCTATCAAAATTTACTTGTCAAGGAGCCAAGGAGCCACTGCAAGGACATGGTAGCTTTAAATGGGTCTGTTGTGTTAGGGTTCCTTTTTATCGGTGGATGTGAAGAAGGAAAACACCTTTTTGATGGGTACCCGTATGTGTAAGCCACCACATAATGAGCCACAATCAAAACCCGGGTAGATGAAGGTTAGTAAGGGACAACCCCAACTGTAAATGGACCTTTTGGATTCTTTGCATGGCTTTGGGTACACCGTTTTCATTTTAATACCCTCCCACCAATTGACATGGAACCTGACAAGGGGGGTCCTGGTTTGTACAATTTTCTGTTTAAACGGACAGGGTCCCTGTTAGGTTCCATGGAAGGGTACCGGGTGTTGATATAATGAAATATTATGACCGCAAATCGAGTTGAAGGAAGTCGCTACGCATCTACACTCCCTCAGACCAACAGCTGGAAGCTCCCCCAATTGGCCTTTGCAAATGGGTTACCAAGCCTTCCATTTCGGGGTCCGTTGGGGTCCGTTGGGGTCCGCTTCCATGAAATCCTTTGCAGGAGGATGGATTATACATGCAGAAATATGCAGACAGCACCTTCCTCCCGGGGCTTGTTGAACCTCCAGGAAGGCCGGGAGGGTACTTGCCTGGTGCCGTCCAGGCACTGTGCAGCTGGAAGGCTCTCAGCTCACCCTGCTGGGCACCCGCTCGGCCTCCTCCTGCCACGACGGCCAGGGCTTCTCGCCCCAATAAGCGCGGGGGGAGGTGGGGAGGGAGGGCTGTTTGGGGGGCCCAATGCTGCTTGAGTTTATCAACCACTTCTTGCTGAGCAGATTTGTTAGAATGGTCCACTTAAACAGTGCGCGGGAACCAGAGAAAGGAAACAATTGGACTCTGTTCCGGTCCACTTTGCTAATCAAGAGCCACCCTTACGTGGACACTCAGACGGGGCCAGGCCCAACGTGGAGTCCCGGTCCCGTTTGCCAAAGCGATTCGACCTTTTGACCTTTTGCTTTCCTCCTGGTTTTGGTCTACTTAGTCAATGTCCCAAAAAAAGTCAAGCTTCTATCTCCATGTCCTTTCAATAGGGGTTGGGGCTACCACTAGTCCGAAAGCACAATCATGTCATATCACGCCCACCTTGCAAGAAAAAAACTGGGGAGCCCTACTCCCTTCATAAAATTGGAGGACGGGGTGACCCCTGCAAGTCTTTTGGCCCTCCTTTTATTGGGAACTGGACATAGACGGGATCGAAATGGCCCAGGCCTTCGTCCTCGCCGACTTTTCCCACAGAGATTTGTCGAACAGCAGTCGCTGGCCAGCAAGGCCACACAGACCCCTCATCTCTTTGTTTGAAGAGTGCTTGTTATATACAGGGGTCCCTATATTTCCCTTTTTTGTGGATTTGAGCATCACCTTTTTTGCCCATTTAAGGTGAGCTTCCCTTCATAAAGCTGATGTTTTCAGGGGAAATATAGGGAGCCCTGTATATACCAGGGATCAACACTTAGTTCTTGCGAATGCGCCACAACATGGCACCCCCCCTATTCAGGAAAGCCCTTACTCAAACGCCCTCCTGTGGCTGAGGGAACCCTGACAATCATGAGAACTTTTTTGCTCGCTGTGCCTATTGGCAAGACTAAAGGTGTTTTCCTAGTAGAAATGTCTCAAACATCACAGTTCTTGACGGGCGTGTCTGTTCAGTTCACGTTTGGTGTGGGAAAGAGCAGCTGACGGCGTCAAGCGCAGTGGAGTCGAATTTGCGCCCCGAGACTCGGAAGTGCAGAAGACAGCGCTGCCGCCCTTGCGGGGCCTACTCTGCAGCCGCGAGGGGAGCACTTGGTTGCGTGGCTGGCATTGGCGTTTTTGGGGCGGGTGACCTCTCCAAATCCCAAGATTACAAGCACATTCTTTGTCTCTTGGTTTTTTTATTGCCTGTCACGGACTCTTCTCCCATCACTTGACCGTTGATTGACAGGGATTCTTGAGGATGTGACCTTTTTTCTGATTTTTGAAGGGGTTTCCCTTTAAACCCAACTGCTAAGCAAAGAGTGTCCAGGGCAGGGGGTCTGGGCAAATCCGGTATTCCAACGTATCAAAGGGCGCTTCCACCTCTTAGGCCTTGTCAGGTGCCCCAGCTCAAGGCTTGAAGCAGGACGTCAGTGCATTGGTTCCGATGATTGGCCCCCCGTTACTTACCCAGAGATAAAGCGCCCTGATTTTTTTGGCGTTCCCTTGAACATGAGATTCTGCGTGGTTCCATGTGACTTGTCAACTAGGTAATGCCCAGTTGTTCAGCGGCCTCTTTTTTCCTTGTGATTCAATAGGTTGCCCACTAAAGCCAGTCGACCCAACAGAAGGTTGGAATTATTGTTTTCCCAGTGTCACTGGTTGCAACTGGAAATGGTTTCCGATTGAGTTCCACTTGCCCAAAAATCGACCTTTTTGTCCTTTTGAGGTTTTTTTCCCTCTACTTTTAGTCAAACTCCCCATTCATTTCCCATGTTCTTTGGGCAAGTCAAGTGAGTCTCCAGAAAAAGGTTTGGAGGCGCTTTGTGTGGATTTCACCCTTAAGAACCTCCTGTTGGCTCTTTCTGCGCCATCAGCACGCTTTTAGTATCTCACAGGGGTGGATCCACAGATTCGCCACATCTACGCCGTTTGCTTCGGCTTCCCAGTCGTAAGGATCGTGGTCTTCGACTTCACCGCCTGCGCACAGATCAGCGCCTTGGGCTGAAACCCTGCCGAGGTGCCGAGGTCATGTTGTTGTTTTCTCGTTTCTTTTCTTTGGTGCATTTTTCCAAGGGATCTTAAGACTTTATCTTTTTGCCAACTAATGGGTTTTCCATGAAACCTCTAAAAGTTAAAGTTTTAGCAGGGGAGCAGAAAGCAATCGGGTTTTGTTTGCTGAAGGCTATGTGTTATTTGTCCCCTCTGGTTTTTGTTCATGGAATTTGTCACCACAGGACATATTGCATCATTTCTCCCAGGAGGCTTCAGCAAATTGGGAGGTGTTGTGGGCACCCTATCGGAGAACCACTCGGTGCTTTGGATGCTTTGGGCTTTGAACCCCTGGTGGAATGGGAAACCAGCCCTTTCACCACCAAACGAGCAATCCAAACCACCAGCTAGGGGGAAGCGGATCGCCACCTTGCCTGTTTCAGTAGGACAGCGTCGTTGAGCTTTGAAAGGTGCGAGGTTCACTTGCAACGCGTGCTTATGATCTTGTGGAAAGCAAGACGCGGCAAATCGAGAAATCAGCGATGTTGGGTTTGATGAATGTATCCATTTCTTTAAATCTACTTACATTATACTTGGGCCCAAATCAGCAACCATTTGACGAGTTCACGCAGGGTCCCACCAAGACTGGCGCTGAGGCATCTTCAACTCCACCGAGTCTCGGCGGAACTGCGCTCCGGATTCTGGTAAACTGGGGAGCACGGGATTGGTCAGCCGCTGGTTGAATAGGGAATCCGGCCGACAGTCCGCTATAAATCAGACTGGTTGATGATCAACATCATCTCGTTTTCCTTTTTGTTTGTTGGCGGGGGTCTGGTGGCTTCCATGCTGGCCTGCGGATGGGTAGATGATTGGGGCCCTGCTCTGTGGCCCCAAAATTCAGACACCTGGCTTTGTTTTTCTGTTGCCACACGCCATTCGCACAAGCGAGAAGATTCAGATGCCCAGGACATCATCTTGCTGAAGGATCCTGGCAAGCACTTCACCGGGTATCAAAGTCTTACTTGGTGAAAAGGCTGCCAGCATGCTGCGGTTTCAACTATATGTGCAAATGACGAATAAACCTTGCGCATGAATGGGTGCTTTCCTCCGAAAGTGAGTGCTCCCTTTAATTTAGATGGGACACACCCCCGATCAACCAGGGTTGATAGGTTCTTCCCCAATGGGGTCCCGGGAAGATACTGTGTTCTCTCTCTGAGCCTTTGGCAGAGCTCTACCATTTTGTTTCGGAGCCCCAGGCAAGGCTATGTTGCCTCGGCTGGTCCAGGGTTGCAGGCAATTGAACATGCCCACAGGAGGTTCACGTCCAGGTTGCAAAGGTGTCGTTTTTCGATCGGTCAGGTTGAGGCACTGATTTACCACTTAGCTAGCGTTGCCTTTGCCAACTTGCTAGTGCGAATCTTTTCTGGGGTGCCAAAGTCTGATTCCCATCCTATGTCAGGATGAGTTTGCAGAGTAGTTCGGTGGTTGGAAAACTCACGAAAAACGATCTGATAGATTTCCCACATGGAAAAGTTACCTGTTGTGAAAACTGGGGGCCAAAGCGAATATCGTTGACCCCATATTAATCAATGTTCCCCGCCCCACTAAACCTAGTGCGTTAATATGGGTTCAACTTTATTGATCACCCCCCCCCCCCCCCCATTTCTGGGGATCCGCATTGCGGCTCAAGGGATTGGAGGCGACTTTTCACCAATTTACACGCCGCTCGACCTAGCTCGCGCTCGCTCGAGAGAGCCGGATCCTCAGAGGGGGAGGGAATGGGCAGGGCAGGGGTGTTTTGTTCAACTTGCCGAGTGGTGTTGCTGGTTCTCATCAGGGAATGAGGGAATGAGTCCCCTAAAAATGAGCAGCAAGAGAATGGGCCGCCCCTGTTTGGGCACGTTTTGAGTCGCGGAGGATTTGAAGCCACAGCATCTCACGGCCGTCGTTTTCTCAGCCCGCGGATGGATTAGCGAAGCATACATTTGGCCCTCCGAGACGTGGGGCTCGGATTTGGGGACCATGAGCCTCTTACCTTCGAGAATTGCATGGCTGGAGGAGTGGGCCCCCAATCAAAAGTTGATCGATTCATCCGTGGTTTCCATTGAACTTGCAACTTTTGGAGGTTCCAAAAAGGGAGATGGAGGGTACCTTGTCGTTTGTTTTTGTCTGCACACTCACTCAGGGCGAAACCCAGTGATCGCCAGTGATCCCTTTTCGAGGTAGGCCAAACGTGTCCCAAATGGTTAGGGACCAACCGGCAACGGCGTGGCTTCTTCAATCCTGTTTGCATTTCGGAAGCTGCACGGGTCAGGTTTTGAGGCTGGCGGGTTTTAATTGCCAATTTGTGGGACCCCGAAATGGTTTCCCAGAAGGTTTCCCTATGACAGCCCTCTCAAATCCTTTTTTGTTCGGTGTGCTGTGGAAGATCAAATCCAAGGAAGGTTCTGGAAATGGAATCAAGTCCCTTCTCTACCTGGACTGGCTTTGGTGCACTTGGAAGGCTTTTCCCTAACAGCTGGACAGCTTTCGGGTGGTTTGGAGCTTTCAGGGAGGGTGGGGATGTCTCCTGCTTAAATGGGTATGTGGTTAGTAAGCCCGGTAGCCCACTGAACGGAGACTGATGACCATGGCTTTGTGGGTTAACTACTAACCACCTACCTGACGTCCAATGCCCCTTCACTCGCTGGTGTTCAGTACGGAGTAAGATGGAATGACCCTGAGATAAGCCATCCAAGTGGTGGTTTCGTTTCAGGGGACCCCCAGACGGTTTATTCCCACATTCCCTACCTATCAAACCAGCAAGTTTAGCGGCAAATAGCAAGTTTGGCGACTTTTCTGGCCCTTTGACGGCAGGGAAGCTGAATCGAGAACAAAGACACCAGGACTCTTGGATTCAAGAACTCCCTTCCTGAGTTCTGGAGCTTTTGTGACTTTTTGGGTTTGGACAATGTCAGAAAAAAAAAACGGTTTCAGTTTCTGGCCACTCGATCGGAGGCAGAGTTCCGCCGAGGCCATGGCCGTGCACTACGCCCGGGCACCTGCAGACCTGGGATTCCGGGCGCCCGGGAAGGGGACACGGAGACATGGCTCAAGTCCGAGTTCCGGGACTCGGGACTTGAGCCATTGGCAAGAGCATTCTTGGTTGCTGCAACGACCCCCCTGCAGAAAGTTACCCACTTTTTTTTTTTTTGGGGGGGGGGTTAGTGGAAAACCCCCTTTGTTTCCCAAAAAGGTAAAGTCTAATGATCCAACCCAATAGCAGTCAAGCACTTTAGTCTATAGTAGTACATGCAGAGTTTAGTTCCTTTTTCGGGCCAACCCGCTCGATGGGAAGTGAGACAAATGTATGTGTTTCAATCTTCTTTAGCTGATGAGGTGATGTTTTGAATTCGCCATTTCCCTTTTCAGGGGACCTCCCAAAACTGGGCAACTTCAATAGAAACCACTGGTAGATTCAACGTTTGAGTTGGGGAAATCCAGGGACTCCTTAGGCTTCGGCTTCCACGCCAACCCCTTTCCGCTGACCACGAAAAAAATAACATGCAGCGTGTTTCCTTTTGCCCCCCGTTTTTGTTTAGAGTTACTAGGACACCTACACTTCTAGGCGGTCCATACATGCATTCAATAAGAAAGCCGAAACACACTACCCAACGTGTCTTCCAAAAGGAGATAACATATCCTGTTGTACTGGTTCCATGTTAACGCGGAAAATAATCAGAGGCTCCACGAACAATATGCAGGTGATGGTTTCTTAAAGGATGCAATCAGCTACTGCCTGTTTTACAAGCCTTCAGATCCTCCAAATTCAATTGAACTCGGGGGATTTGTTCGATGGCCAAGTTTTAATCCATTGCTGTTTGGGGCCACTTTAGCTCCAAGAGGAAACCTGCACTTTTAGGTAATCCCAAAGTACATGTTCCAATAAAGTAGTCTAAAAAGGGCTACCTAAATGGGATCCCTCCGGGAATCATGGCTTTATTGGATCCATATATTAAGCTGCAGGGAAAGGCGCCCTGGAATGACTTCACCCTCTCAACGTGGATGGTTTTTGTTTGGGTCCCCAAACTACTCTGCCTCAAGGCCATGTATTCGGGTGGAATAGGGCCATCCAACACCCTGTAAGACGAAGGCGACCCGTTGAAACAAAGCCTCCAAAAGGATATTTGAATTTTGGAGCTGTTGATTTTGGAGATTGCTTGAATCTGGGGGGAAGCTGTGAATCAGGATCCCTAGGACATTGGAAGGGGGGCCTTGCACCAAAGAAGCATTGTCCATGTGGATCAGGTGGATCCCTGGGACGTTTTTGGTTCTGCCATTCGCATGTCACCCCACATGAGCCAACGGCGGTTCAGGTGGGCCACTACCAGCGGCAGGCTTAGTGTTCAGCGACGTGACCTGTGTTTGCTTGAGGGGGGGGGTTGTTCGTGTCTGGACTTGGCCCTCTTAACATGAGACCTGATGATTCAAGGGGTCTATTTCCGGGTCCCGAACGTGAGGTGCCATGTTGATCGGGAGAGAGGCCCCAACACTCCCTTACTAATGGGAGGGGAGCATGTGTTCAGAGAGCGCCCTCTTTGACGGCTTGGCGTTCCAAGTTGTTTGCCTAGCAAAAACTGTTCTGGTTTTTTGGTTTTCCTACCAACGGTTGTGGCAAGTTTGCTTTCGGGCCTGTGAGTGGCCAAAGGAACCCCGTTAAAGTGGCCTCGATGCTGGAAATCTCAGTTAGGTGTCGCGGAAAGGGTTTGTTGCTCTCGCAAAACACCGCACGCAGGCGCGCGTAATGCGCAATTTACCGGTAGCTTGCTTTTGATTTGGGGAAGTCGTGGCTGGATTTGTTTTGAATCGCGCTGCAATTCAAAGATCAGCGCAATTCAATAATTGAAGGACGGAAAGGTACGTTGTTGCACAGTTTAGGGTAGCAAACTACTTTAACACCAGTGGACCAGGTTTTCATTGCTCACCAGGAATTCTTGTCCAGAACCACGTCCCCCTCGATGCTCTATGCTCGCATTTCCGAGGCCACAGGGGCAGCCTTTGGCTCAGAGCGGGCGGACGGGGCTGAGTCATGCCAAGAAGGTCAGCCCAGGCTTTTGGGTGTTTGTTTGTGCCTTTTTGGAGGGAGGATCTGCTTACAAGTCGAGGGACAGAGTCGGCGATTCTGTTTTGACGGCCTTTTGCGTGAAAACAGCTGTGATCGATGCGCCTGCCTGAGGTTGTACTTGCGACACGTGCAACACGCCGCTTGGCTGGACTTCGGGGTGCGAACGGTTGGTAACATCTTGCATCCTTACTCTTGAATGAAAAGGTGAATCAATCAACTAAAACAAGCCCTATAGGTTTGGAGTTGAACGTTGGTCTTCTTTGAGCTGGCTGCTTTGCATAATCACAACTGGCCAAGCCTTTTTTGCGCTTGGGATGGTTTGAGGGGGGTTTGCCTTGTAAACTTTGGCTTTGTGTCCAAAAGGGGCACCACTGGTCAAAAGGATCAGTCTACGCTTTCCACTGCCCCGAGGGGCGCGATATGTTTGTCCAACTTTGCTCTTCAAGAGGTTCAAAGGGTACATTCAATCGGGCCAGCCTCGGACCCAGAAAGTCGGACCCAGCTGAACAATATGGCTTCCCCAAGTCAGCAACCCCCAATATTGGGGATAGTATCAGGGGGGCACCGACTTTCCGGGTTCGAGTTTGGTCCCATTGAGACATCCAAGAAGCTACTTGCTTTACAAGGATATTTTTTAATTCAGCCCGGTAACTGTGCTTTTGTCCTTGGCCCACATTATTCCTTACAGGGACTCCACCACTTACGACATCTGAGTTCTAAGCAAATGCAACAGGTTCTTAAGGTCGTGTTCCCGTTTGCTTCCCTGCAGATTGACATAGGGCCGGAACAAACGGAATCCATAAAGGAGACCTTTTAGGCGACCCTTCCGCTCCGGTCCCCTATATAGTATTGTATCAGGATATTTTTGTGCGCGCCTCCTCTCACACATGTATCTGGGAATTCTGTAATGGTTCCAACGCCTGAAGTTCGGGCTCTCCTGACGGACCTTCGTCATGGTGTGCTCGCGTTTCCCCCTGCATTGCTGAGCTCGCCGTAAATTTGAAAGGTGGATTGTGTATGTTGGGGCAAAGCAGGGACCGGGGCACCTGGCATGCGCCGAATCGTTTGTGGCCCCTTCTGGCAACCTTGAAATACAAAGGTAGGCGCAACGGGGGCAGTTCCCTTTGCCACCAAGAAGGATTCTAAAAATCAAAGTGCTCAATATGTCAGCGCCCCAGCTGATCAGGAGACGGCAGGAGAGAGCGAGAGCGAGAGCGAGAGAGAGAGAGAGAGAGGAAGAGGAAGAGAAAGAGAAAGATAAAGAGAAAGAGAAAGAGAAAAAGCAAGAAAGGGGAGAGAGGGACCCTTTTGTCAACAGCTTAGCTAGGTCCTGGAAATTCACATGGCCCCACTAGCGCCCCGCACGAGGCCGCTCCGGGCCCAACTCTGACGATCCAGGGCCGCCATCGGCGGATGTCTGCGCCGCCACCACCGCCGCCTGAGGCAAGGCCCCGTTTTGGCATCAACGTCGGACCGTCGGATTGGTGTCGAGTCATTTCTTTGGGGGCCCTTTTCGGTTTCACCTTAGTTTATGGCCGTACCAAAGCTAGAGGGAGGGTAAGGGGATCAGGTCAAAAGGAGACCTAGGCCCACAATGTCCTTTCAGCAACTATGCTACCGCAAAAACATATCGCTATTCTTTGGTATGGCCCTCATTTCGGGCGTGGGTTGAAGGGAAACAAGCTAAACAAAAAAAAAAAACGGACTGGAGAAGGCCCTCCTGCTTCCATCTTGCTGGTTCTCCAATGTTGTTTTCATGTTGTTGTTTTTGGTTCTGTTCATGTTTCGTAGGTGGCTGCAAAGAACGGCGTTTCTTTGCTCCATATCAAAGTTTGAAAAGTGGACTTCAAACAAACTTTGAACAAGTGTGGGCTTTGCTCACCCGCTGTTAAGACGATCTTCCGGTTCATGTCCGGAACCCTCAACATCATACTTCAGTCGATTTTTGGAGTGGGCTCTGGTTTAAACCTCTGGACCCTGTGCCTCGACCAGAAAGAGGCTGTTCAATCGAGGGGTGTTTAAAGATGTTGGGCAATTCATACGGATGCCTTTAGGGGGGTTCCCACGTCACCCATGAAGGTTTCTTTCTAGGGATTCCTTACACTTCGAATAAATCATTACACAAGTTGCCCAGAGAAAGGGCAAAATCCGCCCACAGCTTTCCCCATAAGCGTTGCATGTTTTTTCTTTTCCCCCCGAGGCGTGCCGAAGGGCCCCCGTCCGCGCGGATGGGTACCAGGCCAAGCCTTCCGCCCGCTTGTCCCAGACTGTCCCTCAGCTTTCCAAAAGGACCCACGAAGCCGGGCCAGGGGCTCATGACCTCCTTGGAGGTGTTAGCTTTGTCCTACTGTGGATGGGGACGAAGTCCATTTCGGCACCGTTCAGAAACCCTAGGGTTTCTGATGTTTTTTGTTTTCTTGTAAATACCAAAGCTTGTGGTTTCAACCGTGGATTCAACTGGGAGCGACATGGATTTCTTTGGTGCATTTTGCCAAGGGATGTTAGGACTTTAAACTTTTTGCCAACTAATGGCTTTCCGTATTAGACCACTAGAAGTTATTCACTGTTAGCAGGGGAGCAGAAAGCAACCGAGTTAAGCATGACCTCTTGGGCCGGCCCCTATTTTATTGAGTGAGTTTCCTTTCCGCAGGGCGATGTCTTTGTGGGATATCCGGGATATCTAGGGGATGTTGCTGGCTCGCAAGGAATCGACAGGGGTGCTAGAAATGAACTGGAAGGGGATCCACTTTCAGGAAACCGCCAGGAATGGTTCAGTCTGGGGTCATTCCCTCCTTGCCTGAGCGCGAATCTTTGCAAGCCCTGCTGGTGTTAAACTGACTGAACCTCAGATTGACCCCTGATAAATTCCAAATGTATTCCCGGGTTGCTTTCTAGGTCGATTGCTTTCTTCCAACGAAAAGTGCCAGATTGGTTCATGGATGCCTGCAAGTTCAGTCATTATTCTCCCACCACCAAACATGGTTTGGCACACAGTCCGCTTTTGAAAGCTTTCCTTTTCGATTAGGGGCCTGTGCCTCCATGTGCAACAGGCCTTGCATGACGGTGATTTTGTATGGGAGGTAAGTCACGCATGCGAGCGTCTCTTTGCCACAGTCCCAACGGCGAGCCGAGTTTTGCAACGCAACTTTGTGGTGAGGCACGTGTTTGAGTGGGGTTTGGAGTAAGCTAATGTACGACGAATCGGCCAAATCTCCTGAATGGGCTTGCTTCCGGGGAACCGCCGGGGTTGATGAACTCGCCATGCTGGACAAACAACGACAAACAATGTGAGAGGACACCTCATGTCAGGCTGGTGAATCACGCATGACTTGGTTGTTGTTTGTTTCATTGTTTCTTAGGTTGTGTTTTTGTTGTTGTTGTGTTTTTTTTTTTGGCGGGGGAGGGTATGGGGATGTTGGCTGGGTTGTGCAAAACCCGCAGATGATATTATGGTTTGTTTGTTTCCGTTGCATTGGCGTCTTACTACACGGCTTATGGGGGTAAAGGGATGACCCCTAGGCCCCCTCCCCATTTTCAGCGCAAAAGAACGCGTGAGGACTTTCACCCCCCCCCCCCCTCTGCGAGGGTGTTGGGTTTTAAGTCGGGCACGGCACCTGGGATTCAGCCATCCCTTAAGGCTTTTTGCTGCAGCTTCCACGAAGCTAAAAGTGAGGCTTTTCGCGGGGATCTGGGATTTCTGCCCAGTAAACTTGGTGGCTCCCAGGCATCCGGTTCCTTAGCTTTTTAGCCTTTTAGAGTTTAGTGGTAATTAGTTTCCATTTAACCCACTAAAAGTGAAGCTTTTCGTGGGGGATCTGAAAACGGGCAGCCCAGTAAGGCGAGTCTCCTTTGAGGACGTTTACAGGGGAAGTCGAGTCGCAACCCAACCGCCGGCTCCAGGTGTTGAAGCGGATGCCGCTGCAGGTGGGGTTTGGGGCGGGGCTGAAGAAGTGCCCGCCGAAGTGGCTGTGGTGGTCAAAACCGTTTTGGGATCCCATTTTGGTTGGTAGGTGAATTCGCCACCCGTTTTAGAAACTATTTGGATTGGGATTTTTGACCCATGGCCAAGTGGTCCCCAAAAATCCTTAAAGAGATCCAGAAGAAGCTTGAAGGAGGGCCTCCATCAGGCTCGGGCCGGCTAGCTCCGCTGAGGAACCAAAAACAGATGCTGAAACAGGCGTCAACAAAGCCCGACCCTATTTGTTTATCCTTTTCCAAACGATCATGCAAGTGGACGAAGGTCCTCCAAGAGTCAAAACGCTCCTGTCTATGCTCTTTTTGGGGTTGCCAAAAGGAACGATGCGTGCCAAACCCCTTCAATCATTAGGTTGAATAGATTGACGGGTCGATCCCGGCGGACCCCGCACCCCCTACGCCCATTTCTCAAATGGGATACTGTCTGGTCTGGCGCATATGGTTGACCAAGATTGCGAGTTCCGAGCCCTTTGGTTCTTTTCATGTTGAGTAATTAAGCGGCAGCAAAGCGCATTCACCTGTTCGCACCTTTTTTGCTTCAAGCAAGGTTTGAGCAGCCCTCAGGGCCCACAACCAAGGAAGCCAATGCTTGCTACTGTGTGGGTGAATTTCTTCTCATCCTGTCGGCACCGTTGCTTGGGCAGCTGGGGAAGCTGGCCAGTTCCTGATACCAAGGAAAGGGGTTCCGTTACCCATGGAAAAGCAACGCATCGCGTGCTCCGGGCAGAAGAACTCTCGCAGCTCTGCCTTTGAATGGACGAAGACAATCGGATCACCTGATCCTTGGCTGCACCTGCCTGCCTGCCGACCTACCCACTCACCTACCTAGCCACCCACCTAGCTACCTATACCTACCCACCCACTCACCCACCTACCTATCTACCCACCATCCACCCGCCTAGCTACCTACCTACCGACCCACCCACTCACCCACCTACCTACCCACTCAGCCACCCACCTACCTACCCACCCACCCACCCACCTACCTTACCTACTCACGATCCCCCCACCTAGCTACCTATCTACCCACCCACCCACTTACCTACCCACCATCCACCCACCTAGCTACCTATCTACCCACCCACCCACTTACCTACCCACCATCCACCCACCTAGCTACCTATCTACCCACCCACCTACCTACACACCCACCCACTCACCCCCACCTAGCTAGACGTACCTACCTACCCTTTGCGGCTCAAGCCATCGCTCTTCGCCTCGTTTCGCGAAATCCTCGCCATGGGCCTCTCCTCAGCTTTTGGCTGCCTCCTGGGCGCCGCTTCCGCGCCCTCCGCCTCTGGGGCGGCCGGGGCCGGCGCCTTGCGGGTGGTGCCGCAGAGGTCTGGGCAGTTGAAGCATGCCCGACATGAGCCACGTCCTAACCCCGAGTAATTGGCGGGTAGGGGACAGCACCCTAGCCATTTTTTATTCTTGGGTGCAGCGCAGCCGCCTTCTGAATTCTGTATAGCCATAATTGGGCGATTTGGGTGCAGCCGCCTTCTTATAATTCTTTACATGGTTCTGGGTAGACCACTTTCATACCAAGTGTTAATCGTGACTCACTTGGGGGGGTGAATGGATACCCTCCCTCCAACATGCCCCTGATAAAGGGTCCCATTGATCTTCCAGCTACTCCCACCAATCTGCAATGGTGGTGGAGGAAGGGGTAAATAGCCACGAAAGTAACCACCATTGAATAAAGGACTATATATATACATATATACACATCAAAAACCTTCTTCTGCGGGTCGTGGTTTGGGGGTAGTGGAAATGTTGGATATTGTCCAAACATCCCAAATCGATATCCCTAGGTTCGGCGCTGCATTGTGTTCTCCATGGTTTGAGCGCCTATTGTCAACATCCTTTTGGTTCCCATGTAAGGGGCTAGGATTGTTAAAGCCCATTTGTTTGAACGGCCTGAGGGATGGATGCCCTGAATTCTATTTTTGGCAAAACAAGTTGGGGAGGGGTCAGGGCAAGGGGAGGCGCCGGATGCCTATGATTTGTGTTTTCGGGCAGGTCCTCATCTTGATACTTGGACTTTGCCACATCTTGGGCAGGTAGCAGCGAGCCCAAAGTTTCGCTTTTCTTGGCACGCTTTTGGTGTTTGTTTTTTTGTTTCCCGGACCTGCGAACAAACAAGTTTGTTGACCCACCAGGAGTCGGCAAGAAGCGTCTTCTTTCGACACAAGATTTTAAGGATTCGGCTACACTTTTTGAGTTCAATTCATTTGCCCAAAGCAAATCAACCTTTTAACCTTTTGGTTTTCTCGTGTTGGTCAATTTTTGAGTCATGGTCCCAAAAGGTGATCACCTTTGATTTCCAGGTCCCGGGGCAACTGAGAATGTGCAGGCCGTTGATCAAACCGTTTTTTGGAATCTGGGCCCAAATCCTAAAACCTTGATGCTTAGAGGTTAACACATAAATAAGCGCCTTTAACCAGTCCAGCCGGGTGAAGACCAGCAGCTCCTGGCGTGCCTTGTAATTTGACCAAAGCGATGAGCCTCGTGGAACTCATTTGACCACTGGAGTTCACTCCACAAAACCCCGTTAGAGGCACAAAGAAATGGCTGTGGTGGTCAAAACCGTTTTGGGATCCCATTTTGGTTGGTAGGTGAATTCACCACCCATTTTAGAAGCGATTTTCCGCCTTTTGACCCATGGCCAAATAGTGCTATCAACTTTCACCAGGTCTTCGCATCGCTTTGCTTCGGATTTCTGGCCTTGGCACTCGGTGCCGACGAAAAAAAAGCGCCAGGAAGCTGTTCGTGAGCGAGCCGAACCCCAGGATGTTCGGCAACGGGCCGAACGAGAAAGGCCCAGCATGGACCAACACCAACTGGCTGAAGTCTCGCTCTTCGGCCTGCAGGAGGGGGCCTTCAAAGGCAGGAGCTGTTGGGGAACCCCAGTGGCTCAGCGGTTGTGTGCCCTTTTCCAGTTTTTGGCTGGGTTGTTGGCCCGAGAAAAAGGGGCCCTTTTTGGCTAGGGTGGTTGGGCAACTGGAGGGACAGCCAAACCGCTTCTTGGAGGGAGAAACTGCATTGAGCTCTTGATGTGTGGCTGCATATAGTGGTTGAATATCCCAGTGAAGCTCTGGGGGTGCCATTCCGGTGAGTTTCAATTGTGGACCCGCTTCGGTGGACATCAGAACAAGCTTGCATTTGCGGCAAATCCAAATCCCCCGCTTGGATGCGCTCCCATTAAAGGCACCTTTGCAGTCCCTCAAAGGTGGGGCTGGCCAGGGCGGAGTTTGTTTGAACAATCAGACCCTGGGCCCCGTCAACGAGCCCTCATCGCTAGGATCCTCAATATGTTGGGGCAATATCTTCTATGATTGTTTTCACGCCCCCAACCACCACCCGTAGACGTTTGCCCATATATATATATATATATATATATACACATGTAAATACATAGATCCTACCAATACTACCCTTCATTCAACGTGCTGTCTGCTTTCGCAGTTATATATGTATGTATCCATAAACAAATACACACACACACATACACATATATATACATATATATATATATATTTATATACACATATACCAACTGCCCCCCCCCCCCCCGGGCTTGAGGCTTCCACTTCAACTTCGCGGAGTACGGCTATGGTCCTGACAACTTCGGGGTGCTGCGTGTGATGAACGACGACCTGGTCCAGCCCAAGCGGGGCTTCGGCACCCATCCCCACCGTGACATGGTGCGGCCCCCGGGCGTTGGAAAACCGAGGCGCTCAATTTCCGCAGCGACCCCCGGTGATAATGTCGACCCCATATGAATCAACCCAGTTTATTACTAGGGGGGCGTTCCCCTCCGAAAGTGATGCGTGATTTCCTCAAAACAGGAACACCCCCCTATTAGACAGGGGTTGATGTAATGTGGCCTTGGATGGGAATGGCGCTTATCACGAGGGGGCGCATGTCTCGGAGCCTTCGGCTTGAAGGCCGACGATGCCTTTGGAATCAAATCTCAACAGCAACTCAGCATGCACACATTGCGCTCAATGAAGTTCCGGAACCTGGGGTCCTTCATTTGGTGTAGTCCGTGACTTTGGAAACTTATGTGATCCCTGTTGCTTGGCGGAGACCCTTTTTGTTGTGCCCCTTTTTCAATCCTCAACATAACACCTACCTGATTGGAGCAAGCGTGTTGGTTCCTGAGTAGCGTATTTCCGGCTTCTTCTGGGGAAAGTGAAACGACCACCATGTGTTCGGGAGAGGTTACGCATCCGAAGGTGCCCAACTCATGCCCCGCCAAGCGGAATTGAGGGGGGCTCGTTGGTTCCAATCAAACTCAATGGCGACCCTTGGTGGAAAACGACAGCCCGGATTTATTATGGTGCTTCACCTTCTTTTGGCTTGGATTTTCAACCGCCAGCGCCTTCTAGCACCGCAATGAGGTTGTTGCAGCAATTGCTTTTTTTAGCAGTGAACAATGAGCAACGGACAATGTTACGCAGTATTGTTTCTTGGTGGTCCCTCTCGGTTTTGCAGATTCTTGTTCATCGTGTTCAAGTCTCCTATCGGTTTATTGCAGTACCATGGTCATTTTCGTTTGTACCGGAGGACCGTGAACATGGACCTGTTGGCTTTGGTTTTAAACTAAGCTGAAGAGGGTACCAAGCCTCAAAAAGAACACGCCAGTAGGCTGGGAGCGGCCAGTTTGCAAGTCTTTGGCCCCTTTAGACCTTTAGGAAGCAAATGGCGATTCCATTGCACCATATCAAACCTAAAACAGGTTGGTCAAACCTTTTGCTGAGGGAAAGAGCAACCAACCCAGCTTCCCATCTGCCGGGGCCTATCCGAGAGGAGATCATGACCTTCATTATCCACGGCAAGCTGACACACAAGGACCATCCCAAGGGTCCATTTGTGTCGGAAGTGCTTTCGGTTGCCATTTCGGAGACTTGGCAACCGGGTTTCCGTCTTTTTTGAAGCCTGAACCT